AAAAAATTTATATGGAATTATAAACGACCCCGAATAGCTGCTGCAATATTGAGAAAGAAGAGTAAAGTAGGAGGGATCACAATACCCTGACACTAAACTATATTACAAGGCTACTGTAATCAAAACAGCCTGGTACTGGCATAAAAACAGGCACATAGACCAATGGAACAGAACAGAGAGCCCAGAAATAAGCCCAAGTCTCTATGGTCAATTAATATTTGACAAAGGAGGCAGCAACATAAAATGGAATAAAAATAGCCTCTTCAACAAATGGTGTTGGGAGAACTGGACAGCCACGTGCAAAAAAAATGAAACTTGAGCACCAACTTACACCATATACAAAAAATAAATTCAAGGTGGATAAAAGACTTAAATATAAAACATGACACCATTAAAGTCCTAGAGGAGAACGTAGGTAAGAAAATCTCAGATATTTCACGAAGAGACTTTTTTAATGACGTGTCCCCTAGAGCAAGGGACATAAAGGAAAGAATAAACAAATGGGACCTCATCAAAATTAAAAGCTTCTGCACAGCTAAAGAAAACAGTATGAAAATTAAAAAGAGAACCAACTGTATGGGAAAACATATTTGCCAATGACACCTCAGACAAGGGTCTAATCTCCAAAATATATAGAGAACTTACACGACTGTACTCTAAGAAGACAAGGAATCCAATTAAAAAATGGGCAAAGGACTTGAATAGACACTTCTCCAAGGAGGACATACAGAGGATCCAAAGACACATGAAAGCGATGTTCAATATCGCTAGCTATCAGAGAGATGCAAATTAAAACCACAATGAGATACCACTTCACACCAGACAGAATGGCCATCATAAACAAAGCAACAAACAACAAGTGTTGGAGAGGTTGTGGAGAAAAGGGGACCCTAGTGCACTGTTGGTGGGACTGCAGACTGGTACAACCACTATGGAAAGCAATATGGAACTTCCTCAGAAAACTAAAAAATGGATCTGCCTTGTGACCCTGCAATTCCACTACTGGGACTCTATCCTAAGAATACTAAAACACCAATTCAAAAGAACCTATGCATCCCAATGTTCATAGCAGCACAATTTACAATAGCTAGATGCTGGAAGCAACCTAGATGCCCATCAGTAAATGAATGGATCAAAAAACTATGGTACATTTACACGATGGAATTCTATGCAGCAGAAAGAAAGAAGGAGCTCCCTACCCTATGCAACAGCGTGGATGGAGCTGGAAAACATTATGCTAAGCGAAACAAGCCAGGCAGTGAAAGACAAATACCATATGATCTCACCTTTAACAGGAACCTAAACAACAAAACAAAGAAACAAGCAAAATGTAACCAAAGACACTGAAATAGAGGACAGGCTGATGGTGACCAGAGGGGAGAGAAGAGGGAATTTAAGGGGACAGTGGGAAGGGTTCACAGGAACAAACTTAAAGGACACATGGTCATAGACTAAGGGGAGGGTGGTAATGGGAGGGAAGGGGGGGCGGGTGGGAGGGGGAACTGGATTGGGAGTAAAAAGGAGAAAACTGTATATGAACAATGATTAATAAAAAAAAAAAAAAAGAAAACCTGAAAGACTCCACAGTTAAAAAACTGTTACAACTACTACATAAATTTAATAGAGCTGCAAACAATGGTATTTTTTACAGAAATAAAACAAATAATTTTAAAATGTGTGTAAAATTACAAAAGATCCCAAATAGCCAAAGCAATCTTGAGAAAAAAAGAACAAGGCTGGAGGCATCACACTCCCTGTTATCAAACTATATTATAAAGCTATAGTAATCAAAATAGCATGGTACTAGATAAAAACAGACATACAGATCAATGGAACAGAGTGGAGAACCCAGAAATAAACCCATACCTATGTGCTCAATTAATTTATGACAAAAGAGGCAATGATCTACAATGGAGAAAGGACAGTGTCTTCAATAAATGGTGCTCAGAAAACTGAACAGCCACATCCAAAAGAATGAAACTACCTTACACCATAAAAATGAACTTAAAATGTTTTAAAGACTTGAATGTAAGACCTAAAACCACAAAACTCCTAGAAGAAAAATAGATCATAAACTCCATGACATTAGTCTTAGGGATGTTTTTATGGTTCTAACTCCAAAGGCAAGGGCAACAAAACCAAAAATAAACAAATGGTCTATACTGAACTAAAAAGCTTTTGCATAATGAAGAAAACCATCAACAAAATGGAAAGGCAACCAATGGGAGAAGATATTTGCAAATCATATCTTAAGAGTAAATATCTAAAATATATAAGGAACTAATACAGTTCAATAGCTAAAAGCAACCAGTTTGATTTAAAAATGGGCAGACTCTGAATAAACATTTTTCCAAAAAGACATACAGATGGCCAGCAGGCACATGAAAAGATTCTCAACATCACTAATCATCAGGGAAATGCAAATCAAAATCAAAATTAGATATCAACTCACATGTGTTAGGATGGCTATTACCAAAAAGAAAAGAAATAACAAATGTTGGTAAAGATGTGAAGAACCCTTGTACACTGTTGGTGAGAAAGTAAAATAGTGCATACACTATAGAGAACAGCATGGAAATTCCTTAAAGAATTAAAAATAGAAATACTATATAATCTATTGCTGGGTATTTATCTGAAGAAAGCAAAAACGCTAATTCAAAAAATATATTCTACCTGTGTTCATTACAGCTTTATTTATAATAGCCAAGATATGAAAACAACCTAAGTGCTCAACAATAGATGAGTGGGTAAAGAAACGTGGTTGATGTGCAGCATGCACACACACACACTGGAATCATATTCAGCCATTCTTGATAACATGGATGGACCTTGAGGCTGTTATGCTAAGTTAAATAAGCAGATAGAAAAAGACAATGTATTATTGCACTTATATGTGAAATCTAAAAAATAAGAATAAACAAACAAAACCAATCTCAGAAATACAGAGAACAGAGTATTGGTAGTTGCCAGAAAGGAAGAGGTTAGGACGTGGGTGAAATAGAATGTGGGTGAAATGGGCGAAGGGAATCAAGAGGTACAAACTTCCAGTTATAAAATAAATAAGTCATGGGGATGTAATGTACAGCTTGGTGACTGTAGTCAATAATATTGTATTGCAAATTTGAAAGTCACTAAGAAAATAAACCATAAAATTTCACAACACAAGAAAAATGTGTAAGTGTGTATGGTGACAGAAAATAAATGGACTTAGTATGCCAATCACTTTGCAAGATATATAAATGTCAAATCATTGCTATATATATCTGAAATTAATATAATGTATGTCAGTTATACTTCAATAAAAAGTAAAAGAGAAAATTACAATCCATAAATTTCTCAGGAAATTAAATATAGAAAGAAGTATAATACAAAATTAACATATTTACATATTACCTTTCCAGTTTCTTTTTTTTTAAGATTTTATTTATTTATTTTTAGAGAGGGAAGGGAGGGAGATAGAGAGAGAGAGAGAGAAACATCAATGTGCAGTTGCTGGGGGTTATGGCCTGCAACCCAGGCATGTACCCTGGCTGGGAATTGAACCTGGGACACTTTGCTTCACAGCCCACACTCAATCCACTGAGCTACGCCAGCCAGGGCTACCTTTCCAGTTTCAAACAACAAAATACCTATGGAGCTTGCTCAAAATCAGATTTAAAATTACTTAACAAACTTCTTTTAATTGTATGCAAGCCTGTATAATTTTGCATATATAGATCCTCCACTTAAAGAGGATATGGTGGTGAAGAGCAAGGAATCTAGAGCCCTGAAGCTGTGTGGCCTGGGTCCAAATTTCTAAGTCTTTCAGGGCCTCAGTTTCCTCAGTATTTACCTTGTGAGGCTGTTATGAAGATTAAATAAATTAAAATTTATAAGGTGCTTGGAAGTATTCCTGGCATAAAATGGCTATTAATATTGGAGATATGTGTCCACAAGAAAGAAAACATCTAGCTTCCATATGGGATTTTAAAATATCATTTAGGAATATAACAGATCTTACAAAAATTAAATAATGCTCTCACTTAACTAATCCTATTATTCAGCACATTGTGATTGTATATATACATATATATTTCACTAGAACTTAAAATGTCAATCACAATTACAGATGTACCCTAAAGAAATAAGTGTCTGCCTGGTTCTTCAACTTTAATTATTCTCTGTTTTATTCCATTTCATAACTTTAAACAAGTCAAAACTATTTTTAAGAAAGAATTTTTTCCTCAACTTTATATGACATGTTTTATACTTTGTTTACATGAGTTAACTTAGCATGACCTGAATCAATTCAGTTAGCAACTGGCTTACTGATTAATTTTTACTATACTGTGTGATTATTTAACTGAACTCAAACTTTTCATCAGAAGGAAGCTCAAGTTTCTTCCTAGATAAAACAAATATAATTCTACTGGACTTGAAATATGCATTATTGGGTCAAAATTAACTAAAGAATGATTGAAGACATAAAACAACCTTTAAAAGTCAAAAGCAATACAAACAAGTTCCTTCATGGGCTAAAGTACTGATTACTGTATTTGCAGCATAGTTTATTATTTTTAGAATCTATTTATAGGTAAGATAGTGGTGACAATGGTGGGAAAAGACATTCATTCAGCAGACAAGATGGATAAATAATGGACCTGTGGCTAACAAGTAAGGCTCCTTTCCTGTTTGTAGAAAAGAGCAAATGTGAACTGGTTCCCAGTCTCATGGCTACCCATTAGGTATGTCACAGACACTACTATGACAACTAATGCTTTCTACCAGGAAAGAAGGATGTAGGAAGAGTACAGCCAAAACCAAAATCAATCCTGCTTATTTTCTTCCTATGATATATAGAGAAGGAGTTATGAAGTCAGGTTCCCAACTAAGGACCCCCAAACCAAGTTCTTACTTGGAAACAACTTGCATAATATTAGCTTAAAAATCTCCTTGCCTTAATCTAACTATTCCTTACTCAAGTCCCCCAAATGAAGCTTTAAAACTTTTTTATTAAATACTTATAAATTCCTTCAGATCCAGTGTGTAGAACTGCGTGGTCATTCTTGGCACAGAAAAAGTGGTAATTCTTGGCACAGGCTTTTTCATCACATCCCACGGTAGCTCCTCTTTTACCACAAAATGTGCATTTCTACAAAAGAATACATTTTACTGTGTAAGTATCTGTTTTGTATAATCTTTCCTAAAATTTAAAGTTAAACATGTCATTAAATGTTATTTTTAAGTCAGCAACCCTAACATCCTCAGGTACATTACTTACATTTGGTCACTTAGCAAACTAGAATGCTTGGCACAGACTATTTTGTAATGATTTGATTAAAAGCAGAAAACCCTTTGTGTTTAAAAAAAAATCTCTTTCTCTCTTTTAAAAAGAGATTTCCAAAAGCAAGGTTGGCAAAATTGTCCAGGTGTAGGCATGGGGGCCTGTTACGGACACTGAGTCTATGGCTAGGGCAGCTCCTGGCCATGCCACTAATAGACGTATAATCTTCAGCCAAGTACTTCCTCTTAGACCCAGACTCTTAAACAATGCCTGTTTTACAGAATTACGACTGAGACCAACGTGAAATAAAGTGAAACCTTTCTGGAATCTGTGTAGTAGGGCCCAAAATTTTAAATTAAAAAAACAAACAAAAAAAAACCCCTGAGTAATAAGGTTTTACTTAGTTCAATTTATTTGCTCTCTTGCTTTATAATTAGTCTGTTGATCTGGTATTTTACATATGTAGGTGGTATATAAATGGCTGGGAGGACAGTATATGGCCACTGTACTCTAACTGGTTTAGGGAAATCTGAGCCATGACCAAGGCTGATTTACATTACACTCTGGCTGCATGAAGTGGAAGCACAAAGAAACCATCTCGCAAAACAGGAGAGAGCTCACACAATATCCCAAGGTCAGCACAAGCAGCCTTATAAATAAAGAAAATTCGAATATGAGTGAGAAATTAGATTATGCTGAAGACAGAATTTTAAATCAGGAAACAAAAAATGATCATTTAATTTTGGGGGCCATCTGGTCATATCTGCAGGAAAAAAAAGTTAGGTCCCTACCTCACAATATATTCCCAAATAAATTCCACACAGATTAAAGCTAAAACTGTATTTAAAATAACAAAACTTTAAAAATTAGAAAATAGTGGAGAAAGAAAAAAAGTATGATATTGAGATAAGGAAGACTTTCTAAGCAGGGCAGAAAAACCCAAAAGCTGCAAAGAAAAAGACAGATAGATCTGACTATACATATAAAACATTTAAACTTCTATTTTTATGGTGGCAGATACCATTAAAATATAAAGGAAAAGATTGAAAGACAAATGTTTGTCGCATATTTGATAGAGGGTTAAGGCTGCTAATCCATAGAAAAATGAGAAGTAGTAAATCAGAGAAGAAATATAATGACTAATAAACATTCATTCATTTAAAGACTATTGAGTAGCTGTGATGTGGCAGGGACTGTTCTAGGATGAGTAAACAATAATGGATGAGCTACCTGCCCAGATATAGTTAACATTATAGTGGGCACAGACAATGGTCACATAAAACAAACTTAAAAACACAGTGATATATGCTTTATAGAGAATCAGCATAAGGTAAAGTCACACAGTATCACTGGGTCTGTACTTCAGACTAGGTGATCAGTAAAGGTGTCTCTGTGGAGGTGATAAAGAAGCTTAGATGTGAATAATAAGAGCTCCTAGCATGCAAAAACAAAACAAAACAAAAAACAAAGAGAAGGACATTCTAAGCAGAAAGCCCTATTCTGTAAGCAACAATGAGCTACTCCATTGGCAAGCTTACTGGAAGGACGGTGCTGGGCAGGGGGTGCTAGTGTTGTATAAACAGAAAGGAAGGCAACAGGAGAGTCTGGGATAAGATCTAAGGAGTACTAAGGGCTGCAACACGTAGGGCTTATGAGCCAGGGTAAGGAGTTAGGGTTTTATCCTCATACAAGGGGAGCATAAAGTGAACAATATATTTTTTAAGACACTATTCTGGCTGCTGTGTGGGGAATGGGCTCTGGTAAGAATGAGCAGGAGAGAAAGCAAGACAAGTATTAGTATTGTTCACTAACCATCCAAAAGAGGGAGACCAGCAACTTCGTTACAGCAGAGCAGTGATAGAGAAGTAGAGGATGCAAGGTCTGTAGGGTGGCGCTGACAGGCTTGATGCTGCTGGGCTGGGAGGTTGATGAGATGATGATGGATGAATGATAGCTGTTTATTGAAGTGAGGAGTGAGCAAGTTTGGATGGAGTGTATGTATGTGTGTGTGTAGGGGATGGAACTGTGTTCTTTTTTTGGCCAGTTTAACATGAAATGTTGTTAGATATCCATGTAGCTGTGTCAGGTTGGCCATCAGGGTTAGAGATATAACCACTGGTATAAGTACAGTATTAAAGCCATGAGAACTAGATGAGGTCATGTAGGAAGGCTGTTCACATTGAGGAAGGAGCCCAGGGCAGAGCACTGGGTACTCCAAACTTTAGAGGTTGAGCAGAGAAGGAAAAACAGCCAAAGTGCCTAGGAAACAGCAGCTAGAAAGTAAGAGATACATTAGCAGATTGTGTCCAGGAGGTCAAAAGAATAAAGTGCTTCAAGATGCAGGGCACAGACAACTGTGTAATGAATACTGCTAAAAGGTCAACAAAGGACAGAAAAGTGACATTGCAATTGACAAATTTTTTGTGTGTAAGGAGCTTTTTTTTAAAGATGACATGATCTGTTGATCATGTTCATAAGGGTCTACTCCTTAAGAAGGAAAGGGCACTAGTCCCAAAGTCCAAAAGGAGGGTTAGCTTTCACAGGACAGAGGCCCAGGTGGGACAGAGGTAGGTGGAAGGAACTAGGAGTTCCTATCTAATAGCTGCCATTTTCTCAGTAAAAACCTGGCAAAGAAATGTACAAGAATGAACCCTAATGTAAACTATGGATTGTGAGTATTTATAATCTGTAAATGTAGGTTCATTACTATGTAACACATGTACCCTCTGGTGGGGGATATTGATGGTGGGGAAGGCTGTGCATGTGTGAGGGGCATGGGAAATCTCTGAACCTTCCCCTCAATTTTTCTGTGAACCTGAAACTGCTCTAAAAAATAAAGTCTATTAAAAATCAGGTGTAGTTATTAACTTGGGAATGGGAAGTTGATGTGGGGAGAGGTTTTAAAGAGAGATAAAAATATGAAATAGTAAATGTGGAGAGTGAAGTATTTTGAAGGTCTGTTTGAGGTCTGTAGCCATGAATCTAGTGAGATCAGCCAACACATTTGTGGGTTTTCTCCAATTCCCAACTACTCAAGTATAGGTGCTACTCAGCATATGCAGATAAGCAGGCAACAGACAGATGCATTTCACTGGGATTGGGGCTTTGCTAAGAGAGTAAGGAAGTGGGGGATAGGGAGAGGGAGTACAGGGTATTTGGAAGAGAGTGGCTGCAATCAGGGACCATGGTTATGATGTGGAACCACTTACTGTAAAGGGATCACTGAAGAATTGCTGGAGCTGGGTGAGCTGAGAGGATAAGAGAAGCCTAAAGAAAAGTAATGTTCAATTTCTCCAGTGACCAGGGAAATGCAAAATAAAATTTTCTTTCAGACCGACAAAAGTTAGTAAGTTTAGATATTAATTTTTGTCAAGGGTTGGGAGCAGTGCTCTTTCATCCACTATGTACAGAAGTACAAAATGGTACAACCTTCCTGGGGGACAGTTTGTCAGCATGTTTTAAAATTTTTAAAGTGAATTCTCTTTGACTCAGCCATTCCACTTCTTGGAATATGCTCTACAGTACCACTCAAACAAGTACACAAGGATATATATGTACAAAGATGTTTACTGCAGCATTAGTTGTTATAGGGAGAAACCATAATCAACTCATTATCTAACAACAAGGGAATGGTTTCATGCACTCTGGGACATGGGATATCCTATGGAATTCCATGAAGTCAATACAGATAATGGAGAGTCATAGGCTTACAGTATTATAAATGTGCCATGTCATTCTTGCCTTCCACAGTTTTGCACATCCTGTCCCCTTTCTCCAAATTCCCACTTCCTCATCTTCATTTTCACTCAACTAGGAAGGATTCCTGTGCCCCAGCCACAGTGAGGTACCTGCTTGCTGAGCACCCTGTGCTGATTCTTCTCAGAGCATGTCAAGCTGTGAAGAAACTGTCCATATATGCTGACACCTTGCAAGAGCTAAATAAATGTTCCTCAGATCATTAACCTCATCATGGCAGTGGTAAGGGCTTTAGGTACTAACACTTGCTGTGAAGGGCCTTTCATGGAGGAAGTCTAATGCAATGGACCCAGCAAGGTAAGTACTCAGTAGTTTTCCTTATCACTGGGAGCTGACCCCAGCTGCAAGGGTAGATCCTGATTAGTTATAGTCACCTCTAGTAATTGGTGAAGGAAGAAGGGTGTGGTCCAATTAAACTCTCAGAAGGGCTCTTATTCCATGTTTGGGGATGAACTTTCTCTTTCCTTAGACAGAAACAAGAAAGCCCATGATTCAGTTGCTGCCTGAAGCCATTCTATGAACACAAGGGGACTAGCTGAATTTGTGGATAGGAAGGTGGAGAGCATGATAGGCCCTTGATAATATCATTGAGCCACTGAATCAACCAACCTTGAAGGCTGTTTCTCCTTTGGCTAAGTGAGAAAATAAGCATCCTTCTTGTTAAAGCCAGTTTAAGTTGGTATTCCTTCTACTTACAGCCAAAAGCATTCTAACTCACATCTATTTTGCTGATGAAGCATTTGGCCATTTATCTTAAAATATTAAATGTTCAGCCAATCTGAGTTTCCAATAAAGGTCCCACTTCTTTCAGCTCTCCAAGATACATCTCTATCCTTGGTTTATCAATCAAACGGACTTTCTTTTTAAGGTATCCCAAGGATCTGTTCATCTTGTATGAGTAATAAAATCACTTATACTTACCAACCTCCTTCCTCTACAGATTTCTTTCTTTACTGCTTCCACATCAAAACTTCTATCATAATTACATGGATCATGATCCTCAGTTTCCACAAGTGCTGAAGAATATAACTGCAGATTGGGAGAATGAAAAAGCCCGGAGAATTAACAAATTAATGGTGAAAGCTACAAGTCAAAAATGGTACAACGAAGTACTCACCATGAGTAGAAGATGGTAGAATAGTGACCACTTTTGGGGGCATGTGGGCAGATCACAAGCCACACTGCTTTTCTTTGGAAGTGGCCCCAACCCCCAGTCTGTTTTCTATTACAGAACCCCAACTCCCAATGGCTAACTGGACCAGGTTGGGGCTCTGTCCCCAAACTGAAACAATCAGGTTCCCTATCCTAGAAAGTGGAAGAGGCTTTGAACTACATGGTCAGAGCAAGCCAGTGTGCAAAGAGAAGAAAACAAATACAAGGGCTAGAGAGCACATCCTGGGTTCCTGATGGCTTTCCAGTGCTTGTTTCTTAGACCTGCCTGCATGCCTGCCTTCTGGAACCATGAAAAGCCCCTGCAACCATATCAGATAGCCTCTTTTATTTCTTTATGTTACTGGAAACCAAAAGAATCAAATCTACCTCAGAATTAAAGATGAACATTACACATATACTTAAATAACAAAAGGGCACAAAGAAAAAAAATTTGTGATCCTGGCACATGAGCAAAGATTTCTTAGAAAAAGCAGAAACTACATAGAAAAGTTAATAAGTTCGACTTCCTCAAAACTAAAACTTTTTGCTCTTTGAAAGACATTGATGAGAAAATAAAAAAGGCAAGTCAGAGACTGGAAGAAAATATTCACAAAATGTTTATCTGACAAAAGACTTGTATCAGGAATATAGGAAACACTCTTACAACTCATAATAAGACAAAAACAATTAAATTAAAAATAGGCAAAACATTTAAACAGACACTTACAGAAAGTGTTACAAATGTTGAATAAGCACATGAAAAGAATCTCAATATTAATAACCCTCAGGCAAATTAAAACCATACTCAGATACCAACATATACTCACAAGACTGGCTAAAACAAAAAACACTGAAAATACCAAGTGTCGAGGAGGTGGAACAAATGAAACTCTTACATATTGTTGGTAGAAGTGTAAAATGATGCAATCACTTTTAAAGTTAATCATACACTTACTTTATGACCCAGCATTTCTCTTATAGGTCTTCATATAAGAAAAATAAAAGTATAAGCCCACATACAAAGACTCATATACATGTTTATAGCAGATTTATCCTCATATCCTCAAACTGGAAATGACACATATGTCAATCAACAGGTGAATGGATAAACAAATTGAGATATATACATACAATGGAATACTATGCAGATACTAAAAAATACAGATACATGCAATAAATAACATGGAAGAATCTGTACTGAGAAAATTCTGCACTGAGCAAAAAAAGCCAGACACAAAGGAATACCTACTATAGGATTCTTTTCATATGAGAATCAAGAAAAGACACAACCAATTTATAGGAACTGGGGGTAGGAAGGAAGTAAATGTAAGGAGGCATGAAGGAACTTTCTGCAGTAATGGAAGTGTTTTGTATCTTGGTGGTGGTGGTTACATTGGTAAATACAGGTCTTAAAGCTCTCTGAACTGGCCCTGGCTGGGTGGCTCAGTTGGTTGGAGCTTTGTCCCATACCTCAAAGGTTGCAGGTTCATGCCAGGTAAGGGGACATACCTAGATTGCAGGTTCAATGACCAGTTGGGGTGTGTACAGGAGATGACCAATCAATTTTCTCTCTTGCATCAATGTTTCTCTCTCTTTCTCTGTCCCTTCCTCTCTCTCTAGAATCAATAAACATGTCCTTGAGTGAGGATTTAAAAAAAAAAACTGTCCGAGCTATATACGTAAAACAGGTATACTTTGTTTTATATAAATTATACTGATGAAGTTAACTAAAAATAATAGCAAATTAACATTAACAGTATATTAGACTAAAATATGATCAAAGTGTTAAATATCAGAATGGTTTAACAGCAGAAAATAAGCATTTAACATATTACTGACAAATTAAAAAGAGATAATTTGAGACATGAAAACCATATGGAAGTCATGAATTAGAATCCTTTGTTATAAAGAAAGTTATTAGGACAACAGATGAACCCTGAGGGGTTTGAGGATTAGGTGGTAGTAATATGTACTAATGTTATTTCCTGATTTTGATGGTTGTACCATGATTATGTGAAAGAACATATTTGATTGTAGGAGATACACACTGAAGTATTTGAGAAAGGTATCTCAATTTAATTTCAAATGGTTCCAACAAAAAATTCTTTGTACTGTATGTGCAACTTTTCAAAATATTCAATATTCTAACTTTTAGCAAGCTACAAATAAAAAGAAATGTCATTTTAATAAAGTGGAGTATTAAAAACAAAGTATACACAAATTTATTTTTAGATTTTTAAAAAGATTTTATTTATTTAGTTTTAGAGAGGGGGGAAGGAGAAAGAGAGGCAGAGAAGCATCAATGTGTGGTTGCCTCTTGCACACCCCCTAATGGGGACTTGGCCTGTAACCCAGGCATATACCCTGACTGAGAATTGAACCAGTGACCCTTTGGTTCACAGGCCAGCACTCAATCCATTCGGCCACACCAGCCAAGGCAAGTATATACAAATTTAAAACTTAGAAGTACCCCATGAATGTAAGAAATAATTCAAGGCTCCCTACTTTAAAAGCTTGAACAGGAGTTCTGGCCAAGATGGAGGCCTAGGTAGAAACCCTTCACTTTCTCGCAAAAGCAAAAGGAGAATAACAACCAATGTAAAAACAATAAACAACCAGAACTGCCAGAAAAATCAAACTGCATGGAACTCCAACAATGAAGGGATTAAAGAAACATTCAACCAAACCAGTAGGTAGGCAACAGGCAGCAGGTCGGGCGGAGGGCCTGCAGCAAGGAGGCAGACCACATGGACAAGGCAGGATAAGAAGTCCTGTGGCAAGGCCGCAGACCTCAGGAGCAAGGCAGGGCTGGCTGAATGGGAAACTGAGAGTTCATTGGAAAGTGGAGCTAGAGCTAAGCAAGCAAGCCGCATTGTTTTCTCACTGACACCTCCCCAACAGACAGCACCACAATGCAGCAAAGAGGTTTGCCCTGCCCTGGAGAATACCTAAGGCCCTCCTCTCTTACAACATAACAGGTACGCCGAGACAAAGAAATATGGCCCAAGTGAAAGAACACATCAAAACTCCAGAGAAAAAGCTAAGCAAGGAGGAGATCGCCAATCTATCTGATGCAGAGTTCAAAACACTAATAATCAGGATGCTCACAGAACTGACTGAACTTGGTCGCAAAATAAAGAAACAAATGAAGACTATACAAAGTGAAATAAAGCAAAATATTCAGGGAATCAACAGTGAAGGGAAGAAAACTGGGACTCAAATCAATGATTTGGAGCAGAAGGAAAAAATAAACATTCAACCAGAACAGAATGAAGAAACAAGAATTCAAAAAAATGAGGAGAGGCTTTGGAACCTCTGAGACAACTTTAAATGTTCCAACATCTGAATCATAGGGGTGCCAGAAGGAGAAGAGAAACAGCAAGAAATTGGAAACTTATTTGAAAAAATAGTGAAGGAGAACTTCCTAAATCTGGCAGAGGAAATAGACTTCTAGGAAGTCCAGGAAGTTCAGAGAATCCCAAAGAAGTTAGACCCAAGGAAGCACACACCAAGGCACATCATAATTACATTACCCAAGATTAAAGATAAAGAGAGAATCTTAAAAGCAGCAACAGAAAAGGAGACAGTTACCTACAAAGTAGTGCCCATAAGACTATCAGCTGATTTCTCAAAAGAAACTTTACAGGCAAGAAGGGAATGGAAAGTATTCCAAGTCATGAAAGGCAAGGACCTACATCCAAGATTACTCTATCCAGCAAAGCTATCATTTAGAATGAATGGACAAATGAAGTCCTTTCCAGATAAGGTCAAGTTAAAGGAGGTAATCATCACCAAGCCCTTATCATATGAAATATTAAAGGGACTTATGTAAGAAATTGAAGAGGATCAAAGCCCAGAACAGTAAAATGACAACAAACAACTATCAACAACTGAAGCTAAAAAAAAGACAAACAACGAAAACAAAAACTCAGCAAACAACCAGAATGGAAACAGAATCAGAGAAATGGATATCACATAGAGGGTTTTCAATGGGGAAGGGAAGGGACAGAATATGAGGGGAAAGGTACAGGGAATTAGAAGCACAATTGATAGGCATAAAATATACAGGGAGAGGTTAAGAATGGTATAGGAAAGAGAATTCAAAGAACTTGTATATACAACCCATGGACATGAAAGAAGGTGGGGGGGAATGCTGGAGGGTTGGAGGTACAGGGTGGAAGGGGGATAAAGAGGGAAAAATTGGGAAAACTGTAATAGCATAATCAATAAAATATACTTCAAAAAGTTTAAATAAATAAATAAAAGCTTCCAATCACTATTATAATAGAATGTTCTGGAAAAATGCAATACAACAATAAAAAGAAATTAAGAGGCCCAAAAATCAAAAGGAAAAATATCTTCCCTATTTACAGATAAGGCTTGTCCAAATAAAATATCCAGGTGAATTTAAAGACTTTTAAAATTAATATGAGTTTACAAGACTATTGTATAAAGATAATAAATAAAAATCAATAGTTTTTGTATATAAGAGTAATAGCTCATTTTAAACAGGTATTGGGGGAAAACAACAAAACAAACTTAGGAAAAAGCCTAACCCAAAGGTGCAGACATCAATAGAAAAAATTATTAAATTTTCTAAAATTCATAAAAGAAGACCTGAATAATTGGAGAGACAGACCCTTATAATAGATAGAAGGACTCATGTATCATGAAGGTGCCTATTTTCCCCCAAATTGATCTATAATTTCAGTGAGGTTCCAGATAAAATTCAAATGGGAATTTTTATGAAACATGGTAAGCTGATTCCAAAATTCAAAGAACAAAAAAAATATAAAATAGCCAAGGTTTATCTAAAATCATAGTAATTAAGACAGTGTTGTGCCAGCTCAGCAATAGACAAAGTGACCAATGGGACAGAATAGAGTGCCAGAAACACATCTGTACACATATACTATATTGTCAGCACACTGGATAAACATGAGGGTTCTAGACCTAGAAAGTCTGGGTGAGAATTCTGTGACCTTGGGCAAGTGACTTAACTTCTCTGTGACTCAGTAGTTTTATCTTTGGGCATAACAATACCTATTTTTTAGAGCTGTTACAAGGGGTAATAATTTAATACAGGTTAAGCTTCCAGAATACTACCTTACACCTAATGAACATGCAATAATAACAGTTATCATTATTATTATTACAAACTAGTGAGGAAAGGATAGATTATTCAATAAACAGTACTGGGAAAAGTGGTTAATCATAAAAATAAAAGTATATCTATACTAGGATCCAATTAAATTAAGAAGCTATATGAGAGAAGCCAAATTGTGAAACTTGTGAAAAAAAATAGACTCTTAGTAAAGAATCTCTTAGGGGAAAAATAATCTCACAAATTACAAAGAAAAATAATGGTGAATTTAATTACATTATAAACTTCTGTATGATAGAAAACACCATAAAAAAATTAAAAGCAACATATATAATGAAGCATTACAATTAACTTTATGTAAATAAGTACACATTAGCAAAACCAACATCTCGAAGATAAAATGTTGTCTATGAACACATCACAGAAGTGAAAAATAGAACCATGCATTAGCATAGCAAACAAGGCAAAAGCCCACTAATAATCTAAGAACAGCAGGTAAAAACAACGAGAGACCATTGTAGACTCAGAAAGAAGATATCTACTAAAAATGGATCCTCACCAGGCTCAAAATTAAAAAAACAAAAAACAAACAAAAAAAAACCCCAGAGCCCAGCAGGTATTTCTAAGGAGGTTCTCTTCATGTAAACCTTACTTCAGGAAGAAGCCTGCATTAAGGTTCCTGCCTCCTGCACTGAATTGCCCATCTACACTGTGTTTTTGCCATGTGAGCTAGTCCTAATAAAGGAATTCCTGGAATCCTATTTCGACCAATAGGACTGGGGCTTTCCCCCTCTGAGCAGAGCTGTACAGTTATATCCACTAGCATCTTCATTGACCAATCTGAGCAGCTCCATACTGACCAATCAGGACAGTGCTTTTTTTTTAATCCTCACCCAAGGACATGGTTATTGATTTTAGGAAGGGGGGAAAGGAGGGAGAAAGGCAGAGAAACATCAGTGGAAGAGAGAAACATCCATCAGTTGCCTCTTGCATGTGCCCTGACAGGGAACCAAACCTGCAACCTAGGCATGTGCCTTGACTGGGATCAATCAGTTTAGGGGAGGGTGCTCCAAGCAACTAAGCCACACCAACCAGGTCAGGACAGTGCTTTTGGACCAATTAAACTGTGAGGATTTGGAGTCCTTAGCTGCAAGAGGATGGACCAATCAGGGGCCAGGGACAGAGACTTCTCTCTATATAAGTCAGCTCCCCTCTGGCTTGGAGACCACATTTTCCTTTTTCATCCAAGACTGAAGACACTGAAGATGTCTTGTTGGAGCAAAGCAGGCAGAGCAGAGCTGTCTAACAGAAGAGGGGCTTTGCCCCAAGGCTGCCTCACAGCTGTGCTGTTGCATAGCTCTGCTATTTCATAATTGCACTGTAACACAATTGAGATGTTTACACTGAATAAAGTTTACTTCTTCACCACACCCCAAACTGGGGATTCCTGTTGGCATTCAATTGGCACCAATGACTATCGGTTGATACCTTCACACGAGTCAAAGAGGAAAAAATTAAAATTTCATAATATCAAGTGTTGGCAAGGAATAAAAGCAATTCTGAAACAATGGTACAAGTCCAAATGTGGAGAGCTATTTGGAACATGCAGTGAGGTGCACAAGGCTCCCTTGCTGCACCCAGCAGTTCTGCTTTCGCTATGTGCCCTGGATCAAAGAAATTCCCCCGTGAATTAGAAGACCTATACAAGGATGTTTGTGACAGCTGATTCATCATACAAAAACAAACAAGTGAACAAAAAGAACACCTGGAAAAACCTAACTGCTCATTCCCAGGAGAATATTTAAATAGTTATGAAATGGAATACTATAATACTTAAAGTTAAAGGCAGAGTTGTATTTATTAACATAGATAAATCTCAATGATTCATAGAATTTGGGAAAAATTCTACAAAGTCCAAAAACATGTAAAACAGTATTAGATCCTGTTCATAAATATTTAAATATATGTGGTTGGAGCATAAAATTAAAAATACAAGATAATGAGAAAAACCAATTTGTGACAGCAATTATCTCTCAAGAGAAATAGAGAGACAGGAAGAGAGAGAAGTAGAGGGTCCTTAAGTATCTATGTTTATTTCTTTAGAAAATGTGAAGCTGAAACAATATTATATAATATCCTGATGTTAGAAATTTGGTTAAATTGTTTATGGGTATCTGTTACACCTGAAATATTTCATTAAAATTTCTTTTTAAAAGCTTCTTTATAATTCTTGTATCTTCTATCAGTTGTAAATAAAATCAGGAGTGATCTTAAGGTAATAAGATCTAAAATAATTTTAAAAGAGAAAAATATGCCCCCCAAATCCCTACTTAAAAGCCCAAACCATGGCCAACTCATCAATCTTTGTATTCATAATACCATTTTTTTTATTTTGACATGTCCTTCCCTATAAAACTCATGTGTTTTCTTTTCTTTTTTAAAAAAATATTTTATTTATTTATTTTTAGAGAGAGTGGAGGGGAGGGAGAAAGAGAGAGAGAGAAATATCAGTGTGTGGTTGCCTCTCATGTGCCCCCTACTGGGAACTGACCATCAAACCAGGTATGTGCCTTGACTGGGAATTGAACCAGCAACCCTTTGGTTCACAGGCCAGCACTCAATCCACTGAGCCACACCAGTCAGGGCTCATGTGTTTTCAAGTAACTTACCAAACAATTTTCGTGAGCAGCTATGTTCTCTGATCGTGCGAAATACAGGACACTACACTCGAGGTCTTTGGGGCAAAGTGCACATGTCCTTTTTTCCATCTTTTCTGCAACCTGGAAGACACCTATAAGAAACACCCCTGATGAGAAATGGAAAAGTGGTTTTCTTGGTCTCAATAACACCTCCACTAGTGTTAAAGTAGAAGGAAGGCACTTGTTTTTATGATTTTCAACTCTCAGGAAAAAAGAAATTGAGACCCAAGTGGAAAATTAAGTTATATGGTTATTTTTTAATAGCTTAATTAAGAAAACATTAAAGAATTCATTTTAAATGTCAAAACATGAAGAAAACCTTTATTAAAGAATCACAAACAGGAATTTAAAGACAAAGCTTTCAAAACATTGCTTTGTCCATAAAAAGCTCTCAATAATTACTATTGTCATTACAAATCAAGAAGAAAACAATGGTGTACTCAAGAAATAGTTGGCTACCTGTAAAAAAAATTTCTTACAATGTCATATGATATTCAAAAATAAATTTTGGGTGAATTAAAAAAGTAAATGAGCAATATACTTTAATTTAGATATGTTTTAATCTAGCATTATAATAAGTTAGGAGAGAAAGATACATAAAGATGAAAATTTATTTTATTTTTTTAAAAAGAGAGGAATAAAAGAAAGAAAAAAATTAATAGGAAAACTATGAAAAAAAGGGAGTAGGCAGAGAGGAAAGCAAAAGCCAGCTGTCTGCAATATCCTACCTGGCCTGTCACTTAGCGGTAACTTTCTGTAACCTATGAGTTAGCTATGAACTTGGCTGTAAGTATCCATTTAACATTTTTCTGCCCTTTCCAATGTTCATCCTCTTATTCATGTGGTTTTCTTAACTAGAAAACAATTTAATTTTAGTTTTGAAACAAAGATTTTACCCATTTAATGGTGAAAAATTTAAATTTAGATGAGGTTAATCACTTAAGCGGTTCCTAAAAGTCCTTTTTTGTAATTCAGAAGTGTTAGATATGTTGATCTCCCTTATATTAGATCTTTCATTTCACAAAGTCAGAAGAGTCCACTTTGGAGCTTAGCATTTATTTCCCATAACGATGAGTTTCTTCTTTTATTCATTTCTGTTTCCCAAAACATAATTCAAGTCAGAAACGTGAGTCTTGGGGGTAGCTGAAAATTTTCAAAGAGCCTCATTTAAAAAAGCAAAAAAAGATATAGGTGAAATTAATTTAATTCAACCAACTATATCCAATATATTATCCTTTCAATATTTAATCAATATAAAAATTAATTCATTCTTTTGTACTTTGTCTTGAAACCCAGTATATTTTGTGTTTACACATCTCAATTTGATAAGTCACATTTTAAGTACTCAATAGCCATATACGCTGAGTGGGTTCTGTACCAAATAGTACAGGCAAGGATATAAAGAAATATGAAACAGAACTGTCTGCCAGAAGGTTACAAAATAAACAGGAGACCAAAAACCAATTAGGAAATTAACAGAATAAATACTGCGAAATAATATAACTTCTGAGTTGGAAATACTATGGATATAGGGGAAGGAGTGCTCTTTGTGGGATGGACATGTGCCTTCAGCAGGTACAACCTAGAGGCAGGCTTGAGGATGGAAGGGATTTTGCAGACAGGAGCAGTGACGTAAGAAAAAGCCAAGAGAGAGTTCTGACTGGAAGACATAAAACTAACTGGTCTGAAAATAAGAGCCTGTGCTAAGTAAGCTGGAAAAGAATTTGAAAAACGGGTGGTGAAAGGCTGCCAGGAAAGATTTGAGTAGGGGAATAACATGATGAATGAGTTGTTTTAAGCTCAGTTTCAATATATGGAAAAATTGTGCTCCTGGATAGGAAGGCTGAACATTATAATGCTGTCAATTCTACCCCAAATAAGTTTTAGGTTTAACGTCATTTCAACTTAACTCCCAAGAAGCTTACTTTAAAGAACTTGGAAAAAAAGATTATTTGTAAGAATAAATGGGCATGGACATTGAAGAAAACTTTGAAAAAGAAATGAGGGGATATCTGCTTACCTGATTTAAAACCATACAAAGGCACAGCTAGGACAGAAGATTAGATGACCACATCAAAAGAAAGAACACAACCCTGGCTGGTATAGTTCAGTGGACTGAGCGCGGGCCTGTGAACCAAAGAGTTAAGGTTCAATTCCCAGTCAGGGCACATGCTTGGGTTGCAGGCCATTACCCAGCCCAGGGTGCATGAAAGGCAACCATATATTGATGTTTCTCTCCCTCTCTCCTTCCCTTCCCCTTTAAAGGTAAATAAATAAAATCTTTGGGAAAAAAAAAGAAAGAATACAAAGTACAGAGAGAAGTGGATCATAATTTATAATTATGAATTCAATATACCATAGGGTAGCACTGATTTCTTCTCTGGCACTGATGTCCTTAGCCTATTTTTTGTGTGTGTGTTGGGTTATTCATTATTTTCTTATTGATTTATCATGTACTCAGGATATTAACTTTTTGTTAGTCACATGTGTGGTCTTTTAACTTTGTTCATAATGTTTGATACATAGAATGTTTAAATGTTTTAATTTGATGAAATTATATAAACTTTTATTTTATAGTTTATACTCCTGAGTGAGGAGGACATAACTTAGAAAACACCTCTATTATACACTAGAATTTTATTTTACATTAAAATATTAATATGAAATTAATTTTATTGTAAAGAATGATATAGAGCGCTAATTTATTTTCATAATGGTTAACCACTAACTTAACCACTGACTTAAAATCTCCTTTTCATATATTTAATTATTATATACATTTGGACTTGTTCCTGTACTTCTGTTTTGTTTCATTGACCTGTCATTTTCTCCAACAATACCACGCTTTAAAATTTTTAAAACTTTAGAATATATTTTAAATTTGATAACACAATGCCCTCATCCTAGGATGAAAATATGAAAAAAATCCCAATATTTTATTCACCTCAGGCCCAAAGTCTACTTTGATAGAATACTGTATTATTTTTAAAAACACTCATTAAAATCTATAAAGCATGGGCTAAAAAAAGTGTCAGACATTTAAATTACTAGAACTAAAATCCCCTAATAAAACAATATGATAATGCTTAACAGAATATGCAACACCCCTTGTTGTACAAGAGCTAGACATTTTTCCACAATTAGTTACCCTTTCCTGTGCAAAGCCGAACCTTCAGATAGGTGTGTGGCATGAGGCTGAGCTGTCAGCCTCTAATAACAAGCATGGCCCCCTGTGCTTGCTTTGGGGGCTCTGTGCCTGTCTGAGCTATACTCCCAAGTTCACAGGTTCCTTGGGTCTTGGTACCTGGGAATACAATGGTGGTGACAACATTGTGCTGTGACCTGTTCGCAATGCTGATGGACAGAAACCTAAGGTACGACACACAGGCTCCCCCTAATGGCTTTTTCCTGGTAAAACATCCCCTCATCTGAATTTCCTAGATCTTGGCTCTTCTAACTTGTATATTCTTCTGGATGGGAGAATTCACATAACTCTGTGCAGTTGGGGAAGTCACAATAGAGGTTTTACATAGACTGGTATCCCTCACTATCTAAATGTTTATTACGTATTACCTGGAACTCATGGACCAAATACATTTCTGTAATCTGACATCCCTCAGCATCTGAACTCGGGAACTATATATAGACTCAGACATGTATCATGAGGGCTGGAACATTTTGAGGAAGAGTCCGTTGGTTTCCATCAGTAGCTGATACTAAGAACAAGGAAGATCAGCTTCCCAGGGTCCTTCTACTGGGTGTAGCAGGCTTGAGGGCTCACAGAGACTGACCTGACAAGAATTCTCAAAAATGAAACTGGTAGCCAAGAAAGGTTCTACAGAATGAAGTCACAGAAAAGTTATAAGCCAGCAAAACATGAACTATGACTACTCAAATTAGCACATTGAATCTTGGTCTCTCAGGCCCAGCTCCATTCTGAAAGGGATTTCTAAAACCATGGCCTTTGCAGGGATGTCAGAGGTGTCTTCCCAATGCTCTTTTTCCCAGAGATAGTCTAAAGCCCACCAGACAAGGGCAATCCATCCAGAAGACAGAATCTGGGGTAACCATTCATTCTACCACTAAAGAAATGAGTGAAACTGATGAATTCACTAAAATTGTATTTCCATTTATAATCCTCTTCCAGGAGAGTATGGTCTGTGTTGTGGACTGGCAACCAATTCATGGTGCTGACCTGGAAATTTCTTCCTTTTTTTCTCCTATGATCAATAGTTTTTATAACAGTTTACTATCTTAGTTCTTTCATTATATATCAGATGTGTAGGATAAGTCAGCTTTTATTACAGAACCCACTGACAACATACTTCAATTGGATGAAGACCAAAACAGAAGAGGAGTAGACAATACCTAGAAACTTGGTAATGACCTTGGAAAATAAATGGCTCTATCACATTGTTTCTTGATGACATGACTTGATATAACTGTAGGAGAAGTATGACTAAATATGTATTTGGGATAGTCAGAATGCATTACTGGGAACAGCTTTAGAATGTATAAACAGGAAAAAATGTGTTGTTGGAGGCAAGGAGTGGACACCCAAGGAGTAGGATGTTCAGTGAATTTCTTTAGGGTACCGGTCTAGCTCACAGTCACACACAGGGATGACGCCGGCAGGCATGTTTGTACTATGCGACTCCAGATCCCTAGGCACAGCTGACAGTCCCAGAGAACCTACCTGCTCATCTCCCACATATACAGAATTCAGAATAGATTTTAGTTCAGATTGGGCTGGTTTCTTAAAGGAGATGTAAAAACTGGGAAGCTGTGAAGGTAGCCATCTTCTATTCCATTATCAGAAAAACTGGACCAAAGAAAACGAACAAAGCAGATATGCTAAGAGATGCAGAGATAAGAGAGTGCTGTCAACGTTTATGATGGCTTCTCAGGTCCTAGTCCTTAGCCTGTTCCACAAGCCAGTTCTGCAAAATGATACAGCATCCATACTCCTAGGGTTTGAGTCTGGTCTCCCTGCTTCCTAGCAACAAGCATCCCTTTTACTTAAATTATATCAAATTGTTTCTGTATTATTTGCAGCCAACAAGTCCTAATTAACACACAAAGTACCTTGGCCTGTGTACAGGCACATGTGTGTGTGTATATGCATATATGTATGTGTATGAGTGTGCCCACATTTGTGTTTAAGAGAAAGAGTTCTGACTGCAGTGTGGAAGGTGGACTGGCCTGCTCTCATTATCTTTCACCTGGTCCATTCTAATAATCTCATCTCCCAACTTCTGCATTCTCTGTCATGACTCTAATCCATTCTTCATGTTGTTGCCTGAGAGATCTATCTAAAATGTACATCTGCCCATGTTTGTCTCCTGATAAAGACCCTCTCAATCATCTATAAAATAGAAGCCAAGCTCATTAGTGGTATGTACAAGCCCATTCATCCCTTCAACAAAGACTTAATGAGAACCTCCTATGCACTAGAAATAAAGTGAAGAATAGGATGAGAGTTTCAACTTCCATGGGCCTTAAATTTGGAAGTAGAGACAATTAACACCCAAACTTCAGGGGTTTTTTTCAAGTATTTTGGGAAGAACTAAGGTGCACAGGAAGGAAATAGAGTAATAAGGGCTAGTGGTGGGGTGTGGTGCTCTTTTAAAAAAATAGGATAGGCAGACAGGGCTGTGGATGATATATTTGAGCAGAGACTTGAATATGGTAGAGAAGTGAAAAATAGGATGCAAAGACCCTGAGGCAAGGACAAGTTAGGGAGCTTAGAGGACCCACAAGGCAATGAGGTGTGGCAGAGTCATCATGATGGGCAGAGGTTGGATCAGATCAGGACACAGGGTACACTGTATATGGGGTACACAGTAAGAGATTATTTTAAAAGTAATGAGAGACTATTGGAAGGCTTTGAGTAGGAAAACTGCATTCACTTTCTGATTTTTAAAGATCATTTTGGCTACTGTACAGGCCTGTTTGTATGAGATGCTAGAGTAGAAACCAGGAGACCCATGTTCAGGCAGGAAGTAATGGTGGCTTGGGGTAGTAATGAAGGTGATGAGAGGCAGTGTGATTTGAGGTATATTCTGAAGACAGAAGGAAAGAGAGGTTTATGGCCTGAGTAACTGGGTGAATGGAATGGGGGAGGCTGGTTGAACAAATTTAGAGTATGTGGGTATTGCAGGGAAACAGTTCCAGTAGTTGATAAAGTTGGTTATGAGTTTGGGGAAAAGGTCAGAATGGAACATCATCTCCAGTAACTCCTCATCTTGCACTGCATACATATACTAGCTGAATGAAATATTCACCTGTTTGACTTCTGGTTGCCACATATGATGTTTTGTGGCTGATGCCTTTATTCTTGTCATCACCTGTCTGGAATACCCTTTAAACCCTTCTACACTGACTTGCCCTTTAAAACTAAGTTTCATGTCCTTACCTCCAAGAAAACTTTCTGTGAACACAGGCTGAGTTACAAGTCCCTCGCTTGTGCCTATGTGGTTTGTTTTTAAGATTTTATTTATTTATTTTTAAAGTGGGGAAGGGATAAAGGTAGTGAAAGATCAATGTGTTGTTGCCTCTCATGAGCCCCCAAATGGGGACCTGGCCCACAACCCAGGCATGTACCCTAGACTGAAAATCAAACTGCTGACCTTTTGATTCACAGGCCAGCACTCAGTTCACTGAACCACACCAGCAAGGGTGTGCCTCTGTGGTTCTTACCAGGTCATATGCCACTTCGTCATATGCAACCAGGTCATATGCCCTAGATTCTGTAGGGCAGCGTCTGCATAACTCATCTCTGTATCCCCAGCTCTTAGTCCAGAACTTAGGTCATGGTACGAACTGTATGCCTGTTTTAAGTGAAGGGAAGGAGCCCACTCTGAAGGTTGTTGCCTCACTCATGGAGAGAGCTGTTAAGGACTTGACTACTAAATGCAGAAGAGGATATGATTCCAGAAAGTCACATTCTCTAGGGAAACTTTCTAAATTGCTTCCGGAGATCTAGCGGACCACTTCTTCCAGGCACTTCTCAGGTGGGAGGGGCTGCGCATGGAGACAAAACCCACTGGAGTTCACATCAGTTTTTTGATGCCAAACTCCTTAATAGAAAAGGACAGTAACAATGGGCTGTCCCATCAGCAGGGGGAGAAGTAAACAGAAGTTACACTGGCCACTGTGGAATTGCCGCAGGGCCACTGGAAGTCAACTCCGTGGAGCGAACTCCTCGGGGAGGAGGGGCACACAGCTGCTGAGCAAAGTCCATCCACGCGGCTTGGCGGCTCCGGTATTGGGGCCCAGCGCTCCAAAGGGTCACGACCAGTGTGAGAAGGTCCTAGGCCAAACCTGTCTTTCCCGGACCCCACCAGCCCTCAGCCCCACCAGAGCTGCACTGTACTCACCTGTCGGGGAGAGTGGGTCTCGCGCCTCGGACGAGCTGGCTTTAGAGGCCAACTCAGGCGAGGCCAGGGGCGCTGGGTCCATGGCTGTGCTCCCCGCCGTCCAACGGCTGAGCGCTGCGCTCGCGCTTCCGGAAGTTTGGCAGCAGCCTTTTGGTTTTCTTACAACCCGCGAGGCTGATTTCCCCTGCTCAGCGGAAAGTCCCCTGCGAGAAGAAACGCGGTGTCGATTTTGCAGATGGCGTTCTCTGCCAAACAGGAGCTCGCATCTTCTCCAGCTCCGAGTCTGAATTTAATTACTTTTTTAACCTGCCAGGAGCTCACCATCCTGCTTCCCCATCCCCCTTTGCAAGGTAGCCAAAGCCCCCGTGTTCTTGGAGAAATGACTGCTTTTCTGAGAGGTGCCGTTTCTTTAAAAAAATTGTATTATATCGAGTTTGGCCTGCGTGTCATAAACGGATGCAGAATTAACCAACCGTAATTCCAGTTGCCTTTCGCAAGCCTTTATTTCACACCCATGGGGTACACAGCACCATACAAGGTTTTCAGTACATGATAAGTATATATACAGAAAAAAACCATAAATGCATATAATTACACTTGCAAAGTAAGTCGTTCTGGAAAAGTAACACATAATGGTGGTTGCCTGAGGAACTAAAAGTTCTCACCCTGGCCACATGGCTCAGTTGCTTGGGGCATCTGTACACCAAAGTTTGCAGGTTCTATCCTTGGGTTGCCATTCAATCTCGGGCACCCACGTGAAGCAATCAATAGTAGGTTCTCTCTCTTCCTCCCTCCCTCTATCCTCTTTCTAAAGTCAGTAATAAAATATCCTCGGGTGAGGAGGAAGGAAGCTTCTAGAGGTCCTGCAGTTTGAGCGAATTTTCAAAAGGAAAGGAAGCAAGTTGGGGACAGCAGAAAAGAAAAAGAATATTTAAAAAGATGACTTGGATAGTCTTGACAAATACATAAATACATAAATGGATTACATAAATACATAAATGGATTACAGAAGCAAAAGTGCAGGGCTGCAAAACAGGAGAAAAGAATGGATTCTTAGCCCTGGCTAAGGATTGAGTGCAGGCTGCGAACCAAAGTGTCACAGGTTCGATTCCCAGTCAGGACACATGCCTGGGTTGCAGGCCATGGCCCCCAGCAACCGCACACTGATGTTTCTCTCTCTCTCTCTTTCTTTCTCCCTCCCTTCCCTCTCTAAAAATAAATAAATAAAATCTTTTAAAAGATTTAAAAAAAAGAATGGACTCTTACAGCCAAGTATTTTTGCATTTTAAGCAGGTGAGTAGAAGAGTTACAGGCATACCTCATTTTATTGTGCTTAGCTTTATTTCACTTCACAGGTGTTGTTTTTTCCAAACTAAAAGATGCTCCATCAGCAAAAAGATTACCACTTAATTTACTGTAATACTCATTTCATTACTGTGATATTACCAAACTGTAATATTTTAGAATTATGCCTGTATCACATTAAGTCTTAAAGAGACTGAGTTGGAAAACAAATAGTTCATGTAGGTCGTGGTGAAGCAATTGAAAAACACCTTCCACCACTCTCAGTTTGTAATTTCAGGATTTTAGTATTCTATTCTTAAGCAGGAGTAGACTACCACGATCACTGAGGAAAGCCTACAACACAAAAATCAAAGACCAGATGAAACATACAGGGAAAACAAAAAAATGAAACTCAGAGATCACAGAATATACAGGGAGAAAATATACATGTGTGTATGTGTTTATGGAAATTAAAAATCTGAGATCAAAAAACTAAAACAGTCAAATTAGACGATTAAGTTAAGGTAATTTAGAAAGTACAGCTAGAAGACAGAGCTGGAAACTGAAAGAAAAGGAAATCAGAGAACCAATTTGGACATTTACCATCTGGAAAACAGGAATTCTAGAATGAGAGCAGATGAGCAATCATTAAAGAAATAGTTCAAAAAAATTTCCCTAAACTGAAGGACAAAGTTTGAAAGATTGAAAGATCCCACCAATTACCCAGTAAAAGGGATGAAAATGGACCCTTACTAGGAACAGAATATTGGGATAAAGTAATGGAACTAACTTCAATAGTGATAAAAAGTAGTTTTGTATACAAAAAGATCAAAATGGCATCTGACTTCCAATAGTCACCCTGGATGTCAAAGTAAGGAGGTTTTCATATGTCCTGGCAGCAACTCTGAAAGCTTAACAGATGCCTTCAAAATTGGGAATGGAGACTACTCAAGAATTCTATACTCTGCCAAAACAGGAACCAAGTGTAAGGGTACATTTTCAAACATGCAAGGTCTCAAAATATTTACCTCATTTTTTCTTTTCAAAACATATTGAAGGATATGCTTCACCAATATGTGGAAGTACACCGAGGAAAAGGGAAATAAGGGGATTTAACTGGAAACATCTGACACAAGAGAGACAAAGGGAATCTCTAGGACACTAATGGAAGATGATAGCTGTGAACCAATACAGACTGAAGCAGATCAAGACATGAGGATTTCTGCACAAGATTTCCCATATTGATCAAGTGTCCTCACTTTATTTTAGTGCACCACCTAAAATCTCTGCATCTTTACTGTGAATGGACTTCTCAACTTTCCTTATCTGACTACACGCTGTTGGGTTATAATTTCTTGCTCCTTTTTCTAGTTCTTTAGTTTCCCACTCTCTAAAACATTTTCAAGTTAAATTGTCACCTAGTTCAATATTTTTAAAAAATTAAATTGGGTTTGCCCTCCCTAGTGTGGCTCAGTTGGTTAGGTGTTGTCCCACAAAGCAAAAGGTCACTGATTTGATTCTCAGTGGAGGCACATGCCTGGGTTGCAAGTTTGGTCCCCATATGAGAGGCAACTGACTGATGTCTCTCTCTCACATCAATGTTTCTCCCTGTCTCTTTTTCTCCCTCCCTTCCCCTTTCTCTAAAAATAAATATATAAAATCTTTAAAAAGTTGAAATGGGTCTAACCTTTGAATGAGCTTTAAAAGAAAACCAGACTAAAACCAGAATCAGATTCAGGAAAAAAAAATAAACATATAATCTCTCAAAAATGAGAACTACTTTTAATTATTCCATTTTGAGCTAGTATTCCCATTCTAGTTCCAAGGGGAGAAGTTCCTGGCAGCCAAATATAAGTGTTAAGAATAAAAGTAGTTTTGACCCTTGGAGGTTGCCATCCCCCTTTCCAACAGATAAATGATCAGGGCTAAGTAATCCATACAAAAGTAACTACTTCCCTTTTTCTCTAGAAAAACAATCTGCACATCATACCCAGCAGAATCCAAGTAGATATATCAAACTTTTCAGCTCAGTTTTTTTTTTTTCTAATGAAATTTTTGCTCAACATAATCCCTTTTGGCCTAAATAAACAAGTCTGACTAGTTTCCAGGTTTCCTTTTCTTGAGGCTCTATTCCACAACAAAAATCTTCCAACTCCTCCAGGTTTCTTCTATTCCCTCTTTTCCTGTCTGTGTTTATATTGAAAGAGTAAAGAGAATCTGTGGGAAAGTAGCTTCACCTCAAAGAGTTTGCCAAAATTATCCCTACAGAAGAGCTTCTCACCCTTTCTCACTCAGTTTCACAGGATGATACTTCATGGAGCTATATTTCTCACTCTGAGCCCACCTTATGCCTCATAATGGTAAATTATTTGCCAGGAATTAAACATAAGTAAATTTTGTAGGTAAAGCTGTGAAATGTGGCCATTTGGGTCCATGAACTCAAAGACAATAAAAACAAGAACTGAATTCTATGTGACATTGGTTTCTCTTCATATATAATTTACAAGCAAGTTACAAATTGTATAGTAGTATTTCATTTTAAGTATTTAAAATATACACTTCCATCCTACATATGTAAAGTCAAATAGTGGTAAAAATAGATACCAAATGCATATGAAAATGTTCTTATTTTGTTCCTAGCATTTCTAAGTCACACAAATGAACCCCCTGACAAGGACACATTGAGAGGAATTCTCTTGATGGTCACCAACTAAATTCCACTGATAACTGGGTATTCTTTTGCATGGCTCTAATTTCAGCTTTATAAGCTAATTTCATGAACAGGCATCAGCTACAGGTTTATAATATTTTTTTTCTACATTTATTAACCCCACATTGGCAGAGGATTTCTTTATCAGGCACAGTCCCAGCTTCATAACCATAATCCCACGTTAGTTCTGTTCTTGCTTTCACATACCTAGAAAGTAGAAATTAAAAAATAATGATAAATTACCCTGAATGAACCAAATTGATTATATCAATTTTCATATTAACATCATTAACTATCCTTAAAAATGCGGTTTATTCTCTGACAACCACCAAGTAAGAGTGCTCTTTCATTAAAAAAATAATCATTTGACTTTTATTTTCAATCTACTAAGATCCTGAGTTAGAAAAAATCTGTCAATATCCTCGAGGAAGGAAGTGTATTTTGCGAATAATGGAAACCAGTGATGTGATGAGGCCTGCAGTGTGGTTAATGGGGATAGTTCTGACTTCATGAATTTGTAGCAGTCTGCATCATTTATCCCCTGAACTGAATTGAGTGAGAACTGCCATTCTTAGCTCTTTCAGGTATTGATTCTAAGAGAAAATAAAAATTGAAATTTCAGCTCTTTAAAATCTGGTTCAATAGAAACAGTTTGGATAACTGAATATTCTGGGATACCAGATATTAGGGGCTATAGCACATATATTTTCATATTTTTCCTTTCTGTTGCTCCCATCCTGTCCCCTTTGTCTAGTTTCTTTTTGTCTCCTATTGCCATTTTTAAAGTCACAATTTCAAAATTAAACCACAAAAAATTTCAAACCTGTTGGTGAAGAATGCCACCAATGGAAAATTCCTGTCGTGTGTTTCTACAAAAACATTCTGTACCAAAAGATTTGGGTAACAACTATGCTGTTAAAAAAAAAAAAGAGGTTAGAAATAGCATAAAGTTTGATGTCTTATTCCTTGAAGAATTAGAATACCACTGTTTCCAACATAGCTGACTTTTTTTTCTTTCTCTTTTTTTTGTTGACTAATATGTAAAATATCATAGCTTACTACAGTCCTGTTAATAGTAATTCATTCAGAAAAGCCTGTTCTGACACTCTTAACATTTTGCTGGTAGAAATGCAAAATGCTATAAACCTCTATAAATGATAATCTATCAAGATTAATATAAATGCATTTATCTGTTGATTCAGCAATCTCATATCTGATAATGTATTCTACAGATACATCTGCACATGTATCTATGTGTAAGATTGAGCATTGTTTTGAGCACTGAGCATTGTTTTTAACAGTAAAAGCATGGAAACAAACTAAAAGTATCTAAAGAGAATTGGCTAAATAAACTGTGGTATTATCAACACAACAGCATTCTATGCATCTGTAAATAAAAACAAACAAAAAAATTAGTAGCTCTCTCTGTGTCCAGATATGGAAAGATCTCCAAGGTATATCGTTAATTTAAAAAACACGGTATGGGACAGTGATTACAATATGCTGTCCTTTATGTAAGAACACATATTTATATTTACCTGTATTTGAATAAAGAAACACTATTAAGAATACACAAGAAAGTAAAAATTATTTTACTATAGGTGAGTGGGGGCAGGGTGAATGGGGGTATACCATACTTTTCAGATCATAAGATGCACCTAGCTTTTAGAGGAAACTAGAAAAAAAATTTGAAGCAAAAAATGTGGTAAAATATTTAATAACATAAATAACAATATTTCACCAATGTAAATGTAAACAGAACTCAACAGCAGCATTAACAGCCATTATTCCTCCCAAATTTGGTGGAGGAAAGGTGCGTCTTATAGTCTGAAAAATACAGTAGTACTTCTCAAGGTATGTGTCTTTTTATAACAAAGGAGTTTAATATGAAGACTACATAGAAACTGAGTTTTACATCATAATCAAAACAGGCCCTTTGGAAAAGGGGATGTGCGTAAGTAACTTATTTTTCTGCTGAACATTAACCATTATTTACTTGTTTCAAGGCCTCTACACATGATAATGCTATTTCCTCCTATTACCACCATTCTAATATTGTTCTATTGCCCACCAGCTGCCATCTCCACACATTCATCTATTGCCAGATTCATGAAAAAATGAAATCACAATATTCCTTGAGCATGTGGACCAGCATTTAATTTCAATGATAATAACTTCCTGTTCATAACATTTTTTAATTGGAGCCTATGACCTTTATTCATGGTGCTTACTTGGTAGGCTTAGAGCTACCTTGAAACAGAATTCTGTTCAATGTATGTTTATATTTTGCATGGCTTATTATTTTATTTCAATTTTTAAATCATGTAAATGTATTATCTAGGTAGAAAAATTAAATGAAAAAGATGGAGAGAGAGGAAAGAAGGAAGGGAGGGAGGGAGAGCGGGAGGGAAAGAACTTGTTTTTTAACTCCTACAAAGACAGGGACCTGGCTGATGTGCTGATTGGGAGAGGTGAAACCAAACCAATTGTGCTGGTGCAGCCACCACTCAATGTAACTAATGGGAAATAAAGCAGTAACAGTCTTTTGCTCAGAATCCTTCTTTAATGGATCTCCTGACATGATTGGCAACAGTATAGAAGTAATCAAAGTAGAATACAGAACGGAAGTTGGGGAACAGAGGAAGGGAAGACAGGATTCTATTCTCTGCTAACCAAGTAGTCTTCTGATTAGAAAAAAAAGAAGTAAGTCAAATTAGCAGATTCACCTAGCACGAATGTTTGTTTTAAAAACAAACCTCTTTGTTTTTAAAGATTTTCTAACTTAAGACTATTTTTTTCTTCTCATGACAGCTGAATTACATATAAAATTATCACTGCACATAAATTTTAAACCATTCAAAAGTTACATTTTAAGAGACACTGAGCTTACTTTCAAGGTGTCAAAGGGAATGCTTTTGATAATCATGTATCATTCAGGCTTCCCTTCCTTCATCTTTATTTTAATGGAAAAGTTAAAGCTGCCCATCCCACTAATTCCACCACACAGGGAAGAAGAGGAGCTCAGATACAGATCAAAGAGAGTAATTAAGGCTTTATCCAGGGGTCAGTGTGATAGAGTGGACCTTTCCAAAGGTTGTATGGAAGAGCTCAAAGTCCTTTTCCTCATTCCATAACTCCTCTTCACTCTCAGATATGATAAAAGACAAAGTGGAGCTCAGAGATCAGGGAGGCTTACAGGAGGGCCTGGCTCAGCTCTCAAACAGACAGTTTAGGGCTTCCGCATGGTCCAGTTTGCCAAAGACAAGAGAGACGATACAAACAATGGGACCAGAGGTTGAAAGGGATTTTTTTTCTCTATAGGATTCCTGAGAACATACATTCTTTGATAATCATGTCTGATGGTTGGAAGCAAGATAGGGTAAAAGTCTAATGGGAAGGCCACAAGGTATGCCAAATGCACCTTACACAGGAGATATGATCAATAATACAAATTATACCTCTTATCATGAAGATAACAGGAGTCTTAAATGTCAATTAACCTTAATAATCAGAGGACTCATATAAGTATTTCTCTATATAAATGAAAATAAATCTTATTAAATATTTCCCAAACACACACACAAACAGAGAACGAATATGGTTTAGGAATAGAATAGTTAAATGCAATATTCTGATAAATGTACTGGTTTTCTACACTAAGCCACTAAATCACTCAAAACTTACTGAAGGTAAATAAATAAAACATAAATACCTCCAAATGATTTTTTTGAACTATTAGAGGCATCTCTGAATAAGATCTATTATATTATATAAGACTCAAAAGAGAAATTTATTCTATGAGCCCCACTGTGACTTTTTTTGGAAATAACAAATCTTGAAAATCTTTCAATAAATGCAAATAATTTTCTTACATACCATTTATATCATTTTCTTAAGCAAATGTTTACTATGTACTAGCTACTGTTTAAGCACTATATACAATATAAATAATTTACTTAATCCTATGAGTCAATTATTATCACCTCAATATTATAGAGGTCAGAAATAAGGTATGAGGTTAAATATCTTGCCCAAGGTCATACAAGTGGAAAAAACTGACATCTTAATCCTCGTAGTCTGGCATTAGAATTTGTTATTCATATTTTCCTTTTAGTTTTGTTAGGAAGCACAGGAAAAAAGCCCATATACTCACATTAAGAAAGCGGCCCACATTTCCTTCTTTTGTGGCATCCAGTAAAAACACATTTCCTTTATTGAACTTTAGAGAATCAGATGAAGTATTCATCTGATCAGAAGTATTCTTCGTTTCACTTGACAATTCTTCACTACAAACAACCTGCTGGTTTTGACATGCTCGAAATCTTTTCTCTTGGGGCTTTAGTATTTGAGCCTCAAACTCCTTCATAATATTCTGATTATCCAATGTGGTTGCTTCGTTATATCTGCCCCTCAGTGAAGTTTCTTCTTTACATTTAGTTATATCTATCACATCTGATTCAATCAGGAGTTTGTCTTCAGAATCTTCAACTTGATTTGAGCTTGCGTTCACTAATAAACGATCTGGAAGGAATTGTCAGGAATACTTGGCTGGGCAATATTGCTGAGATTAACAATACTAATTAAACGCTAGTTGCTTCAATGACCTCTAACCCTTACAATGTGTTAAGGTAGACAGTGCTCCAATTTTATATAGGAACACTTTGAGCCTCTGAGGGTTTAAGGGACTCACCCAATCCACAATAATAAAGACAAGTGGGGTAACAAACCCAGAAATGTTCTTACTACATAACGATGCCTTTTAATGAATCTATACATTACTTCCTGTTACATATTTAATCTCTACTCTTCACAAATTGACTTACCTCTCTTCAACTTTGGAATCTGCATTTAAGTATATTCTAAATAGCTGTAATAGTGGTGTGTAGGGAGTACTCTAGACCTTTAAACACCAATGAAAGGCCTAAAAAACCCTGTTGAAGTCACCCTCTACAATAACTGTATTGCTATAGGCTTTGCACACATTAGTCTTGCTGTTTTTTCTAGATGACAATTCAATAATCACACTTTTACAAACAATAATATCTTAGAAGAAGATGAACTGCTTAATCAATTTTAGAAATAATTTTTTAGAATATCCAAATGTGTGAAGTGCATATCAAATGAAATGAGCAAAATCATTTATTTTTATAAAGCTTTGTGCCACCTCAGTAGTATAAAGAAATTATACTTCTCTAAAATCACTGTTCTGGATTTAAGCATTACTATTGCAAGCTGCTGTTCTTACATGTACTCATACTTTAATCATAGATGACTTGTGTGCACTAAGAGACATAACTAATTTTTTTTAGTACCTGCTATATACATTGCAGTAGTCAATGAGCATGGCAAAAGAACCAAAAACAATAAATAGTACTCATTACAGTTTACATGCATTAAAATGGGGAAGGAAATCAGAATATGTCAGCCCCAAATATGCCTCTTTTACATAATAATTATTTAAGTAGCATATGTCAGAAAAGCTTTCTGCCTCCCCAATCTGCCTAAAAGCAGGATATAAATTTACAAAAGTGTCCCTTCCCCTCTCAGGAAGAACAAAAGTTAATCACCAGAGAACTCTAGACATTTATCATCCTGGAGACTGAACTAGAGAAATTTACATAACAAACTTTACTAATTAGCCTATATCTACCCTTACTTCCCATATATTTCCCTTCTCACAATTTGCTCCCTCTAAAGACTAAAGGTCCTTTTCTTTTGTCTTGTCACGCCTCTAAAAATTTATTGTTCTTTGGCTAAGATTCTACATAAGCTGAAATTCTAAACCACCAATCTGAATTACTCATCTTAGTACAGCAGTTCCCCCTTATCTGTGGGAAATGCATTCCAAGACCCCCTAGTAGATGCCTGAAACTGAGGATTATACCGAACCCCATAAATATTATGTTTTTTTCTATACATACATACCTATGATAAAGTTTAATTTATAAGTTGGGCACAGTAAGAGATTAGCAAGAATAATAAAATAATTCTAACAATTTACTACAATAAAAGTTACACAAATGTGTTCTCTCTCAAAATACCATAATATACTCTTGTGATGATATGAGATGATATAATGATATAATACCTATGTGATGAGAGGAGGTAAATGAGGTGGGCATTGTGATGTAATGTTAGGTTACTATATGGGTTACTTGAACATATTCACTGCAATACAATTAATCTGATCACTGAGATGGCTACTAAGTGACTAATGGGCAAGTATCATATACAGCATGGAGACTATGGATAAAGGGATGATTCATGTCCTGGGTGATATGGAGTGGAACAGTGTAAGATTTCATAATACTACTCAGGAGGGCACAGAATTTAAACTTGTAAACTGGAATGTGAAACAGTGGATAAGGGGGACTACTATACTCCTAAGTGTTACATGCATAACACATATGGTAATGGTAATACATAGTAATAAACTTGTTTGTTTTGTCAGCCTAATTTATAGGGCCTCAGCCAGACAATCTAAGTTGGGTAGAGGAAGAGATTCTTTTCTCCCCTACAATGGTGAATTAATTGTAATACATAAATGCTTTTTCTTGATAGACCTTTTCAGTCAAGTGAGGCAGGAGACAGCATAGGAAGAACTCTGAGACTGCAATACTGTAACTAGCCAACATCCAGCACCCTGGTTGCCAGGAAATGCCTTTTACCAATTAGGTAGAATAAATAGTAAACCGAGGCAGGGAGGAGGAAGGAAACAGGTCTCACATGCTAACTCAGCAGTCCTGAGCCTGGTCTGACAATATACCAGGTGTTCCAAAATCACAAGAAACACTATGCTAGCAAAAAAAGAAGGGAAGCCTTTGAAATTCTATGTAGAATTTCTGCTTATCTGGGAAAGAAAGCCTTGAAACTGTGCTTTCATCCCAAGGCCTCGAATACAGGAAAGGTTCCATGGTGCCCAAAGGAGGAGCCCATAAAACAACTTTGGTTAACTGTCTGCCTCTGGTTACTGTTTTACAAGGGAATCTCTGATGCTTACAGAAAGAGCCCATAAATAACTTTGGAAAGTGCCTCAATTTTAATTACAGTGATCCCTCACCTATCGCAGGAGTTATGTTCCAGAGACCCCCACGATAGGTGAAAATCCACGAAGTAGCAGCATTATATTTACTTTATTATATATATATAAAGGCTTTATAAACCCTTCCCATACTCCTATTAACCTTTCCCACTCTCTTATTAACCTTTCCCACACTCTTATAAACACTTCATATACTCTTAAACACTTTCTACACTCTTAAACCTATGTAACTTTAACAACATATACAATTCTATATGGGTACTCACCAGTGAAGTATACAGTCATCCCTCACTATATCAAGGTTCACTTATTGTGGCTTCACTGTATCTTGGGTCTTTTAAAACCTGCGATATTGTGGCTTCACTGTATCTTGGGTCTTTTAAAACCTGCAATTCAGTAAGTGAATTGCGATACAGTGAGGGATGACTGTAACTGCCTCCTGTCACATATTTGTTTTACAACAGGATGAACAAATGAAGTCTGGCACAAAATAAGGACTCAGGATAACAGACCCCCACATATACCTAAGTTTGGGTAGTCACATTCCCCCAGGAAAGCTGGCACCACATTTACCCGTTAATCACTATGTAACTTTTTTTCTCCTATCTCACCAGCTATATAAGTCCTCAGAACAAAAGACTTGCTCTATCTCTCATGGGGGCTCTAGGAACTCTTGGAGCTCTTGGCATCTGGGCCACTGGGCCTTTGGCCACCCTGCTTGGCCCTGAAACTTTGCTTTTCACCCCCTACTCTACCCAGTCCCATTCTCTTCCATGGGAATGGGTCACTAATAAACTAATAACATGCTAATAGATTTGGTGATCTGTAATTCTTTATATGTGTCAGCAAGAAGAACCAGGTCTCTCCCATCAACACAAGGAGCCTCCTCCAATCTCCATCCTCTAAGACCAGGTAGGGAATTTGGAGTGTAGATATAAGGAATATCAAAGGGAGAACAAATGGCCGGTCAGTTCTTCAAAAAGGATCACCTCTCAGCAATGTCTCCCCACTAAGGGATATATTGAAATGCAAAAGTACCAAAACCCAGGCTTATCAAGTCATAATATTAACAATGGCAAGGCTGGTAACACTGAAATACAAACACTCAGGGTAGCAATATTTTCACTTTTGGCTGAGCATCCCCAGCAGATTTTGGCTAGAAAATTGCAGGAGAATGCTGTGCCTTCATTTTCAAAGGGGCCCCAAAGAGTGAGGAAATAGCTGCTTTGAAATGCTTTCATAGCCACAGATAACATCATGGATAATGTAGGCTAAGAGCTGTCCACCCCACTCCTTCCTGCCATATAGATCACTAGTGGCATCTAGAAGAGGGGTCAGCAAACTTGTATTAGGGGCTAAATAGCAAATATTTTAGGCTTGTTTTTGGCCATATGGTCTCTGTCATGATTATTTAGCTCTGCCGCTATAGTGTTAAAGAAGAGACAATATATATGTAAATGAATAAGTGTGGCTATGTTTCAATAAAACTTTATTTACAGATACAAATGAGAATTTCATGTAATTTTCAAGTGTCATCAAATATTATTCATCTTTTTATCAGTTATTTAGAAAGGTAAAAAAATCATCTTAGCTGATGGGTGGGTCATACATTGGCCCACAAACTGTACATAGCTTACCAATGTCTGATTTAGACAAGTAGTAGCTTTTGTGATGGATACAGCATGTTTGTTTTGGAGTCTGAGAAAATAAACTACAGATATTGAGCAAGACAGACAAAAAGGCAGAAGAGGTAGGCAAAAAGTTAAACAAAGCCTACTTTTCGTATCGTTGGCTTTAGTGGTCAGATGTATTTGAGTTGGTTTAAATCCATCATTACCTTCGGAAGTGACAGATTCTGAGGAAGCAAATCCCTTAAAAGAAAACAAGGAAAATGTTACTTTTTAGGCGAGGAAAAAAATTTAATTCAGTTAGGCCTCTTTTATCAAGTGTCAGTCTTCATGAGCTGTAGCCACTGCATTAGTTTTGAAAGCCTCAAAGCTGGTATCAGAAGGAAACTTAGGAGTGATGGAGCCCTTTTGGCTGTGTTCTACTTGTAGGCATGTTAGTAAGCTACAGGTATAAAGACTATAAAAACATTCAAGACATTCTTTAGGCATTAAAATTCAAAATAAAATACAAATACATCTATATTCCTCAATTCTGATACAAGACTATGAATTTGGCTTCAAATATAAGGTGTACAAAGATAAAAATACTGTAGCTAGTTTCTACTTCCAAAAAAAAGGTTAAAGAAGTTGCCTTTTTTTTTAAAAGATTTTATTTATTTTATTTTTAGAAAGAGGGCTCGGGAAGGAGAAAGCGAAACACAAATCAGTTGCCTCTCACACACCCCATCTGGGAAGCTGGTCTGCAACCCAGGCTTGTGCCCTGATCAGGGAAATTGACCAGGCAACCTTTCGGTTTGTTGGCCAGCATTCAATCCACTGAGTCACACCAGCCAGAACAAAAGTTGTTTATCTTTATGCAGTGTAGACACTGCAGTCACTTAAAATGACAATAACTCTTCAAAAGAGTTATCTGCTGGGGGGAAAATGCAGAAAACTGTACTTGAACAATAAAAAATAAAATAAAATAATAAAATAAATAAAATAGAATAAAAATAAACATAAAACAAAAGAGTTATCTACTTAGCACAATGCATGGCACTAAACTAACTGCTCAGGAAATGCTGACATTATTGTTATTCAAGTACTTAAATGGCCAACATTTATTGAGTACTTCCTGGGTGTCAAGCATGGTACAACAGGTTTCTGATGTTTATCTCATTTAATTCTCTTAACTGACTTAGATATTACCCTCATTTATCAGATAAAGAAATGTGGACAAGGAGGTCACCCAGCTAGTAAGCAGCACTGCTGAAGGTCAAACCTATGTCTGTGTGATACCATGGCCCAACCTTTTCATAATTATGTGATACTAAGGAGGTTCTTGCTCTAGGTTAGTAGGTAGAGGGCGAAATTTGTCCAACACCCAGGGCAGAGTTTTTATTTTTCATCAAAGCCCAAATGTGAACTACCATTATGTTTGCCTCTCTTCTTTTTCCTTCATCTTTCTCTGCTTCTAGGTTACAGTCTCTGACTAGTCATTCTTCTCAGTTCAGATTTAAAAATGTATCTCCAGAGGTTATCATGTAAAATGTTGCTTTCTGGATGACCTTTCATTAGGTTGCACTTCCTCTTTTTCATGAATCCCACAACCTAAATTACTCCATCCTCTTTTTTACTATTGTTCTCATTATTATCAACTCAAACACTGTAACATCTACAAATTCTCAAATGAATAGCTCTCAGTCTCAGTGGAATACACTATTAGATCATGACCAACATTCTCCTTAAAAGTCTAAATTTGGGAACATGACAACCACCATGGAGTATACTTACTAAATAAACCATGATCATTAACCCTTCAACAGTATACCCATTCCAAAACAGTAAAAGAAATCCTACACATTAATAGGTAGCACAAACAATTTGAACTAAGTAAAAGATAGAAAGGGGAGATAATAGTGTTCTCAAAAGGACCCCATCTATATTTTGCAGTTTTTACCATCTTTCTCCCATCAGGCTGAAAAATAGCTATCTTGGTCTTCAGAGTTCTAATGGCTGAATGATACCGAATTCTTGAAATATTGTTACATTTCATATCTCTGAAAAGAAAATCAAAGTTATTCTCTTTACTAGACCTGGAAATATAGATAATATAAATGTTATAGAAATATCCATTAGAAATTAATCTAAGTAATAACATCTATGTCTGACCCTTACCAGAAAAAAAGAATGTGATCATATTTTAAAGTCAATCATATTTTAAAATATGTTCAAAAAAGAAAATCTATGAAAAGCATTGGAAATAGAATGGTGAGAGAAAATCAAACTGCAAAGTATGACATCCATAAGAACCTGATTAAAATCATAAAGTTTTTAAAGGTAAAACTGAAATGGAACACTGAAGAAATAAAGTATGTGGCCTAGATTTTTAAATCTAAGTGTCCTAGATTTCTCAGTGTTAAACTTACAACTGTGAAGCAAATTTATATACAGGAAGTATATAGGAATTTGAGGAAAGAAAGAAAAGGAAGGAAGGACAGAAGGAAGGGAGAGAAGGAAGAGGAACAGACAAATAACCACTCTTGACCAATATTATAGATCAGTTTTTGATTGGGTTCCTGAGATCTTACTTACGTAACAGGCTTCTTTTGATTATTATTAAACTTAGCTGGACACTCTTCAGTTTTAGCACTTCTATCCAATTCTAATGGGATAACTTCAACCTCACAATCTGCAACTTCTATTTTCCTCCTTTTTGAAAACACATTTTTCATAATATTTTCTTCTTTTCTATTTTCACCAATAGCATCAGGTTTCTCAGTGTTAGATCTGCTTAATAATCTTCCTAAGAGAAAGGGAAGGAGTTTAGAAGGAAAAAAAATAATGTAGTAATTGCTAAGCAACAAAATGGTACCTCTCCCTGGAGCTCCAGTGGCGTAATCGGTTAGCGCGCGGTGCTTATACAAAATGGTACCTCTACTCTGCTCTATAACCAAAGAACCTTGTGAAGTGTACCTTATTTCTAGAATGAAGATAAACACATTAACATCCTAGAAAACTACTGCAAGGAATAATAAAAGACCAGTAAGAGATTTCACTCATGTCTCCCCATGTATGAAAAAGTAAAGGACATTTTTAAAAAAGCACTTGTCTATTCTGGTATAACATGAAAGATAAGAGATTTAGTTACAATATAAAACAAAAACATAGATCAGAAAGCATTCTAGAAAGTTAGCAAGGTGAATTAGCATTGAAGATTTTGTGTCTAGATAAAAAATGCTTTACCACTTAAAATCAATACTGGTTTCATAGAGTGACATTTAAATCAGTGATGATATGTGTCTATTGTTCTCATGTTAAGTCCTGGTGTAACATTAAAATCTGTCTGAAGGTTATGAATTTGTCTCGCCAAGGGACTCAAAATTACAGTTACCAAGACAAAGTTAGCAGCTGGATCAGATACTTTAGTTGCATTTTCTAGCAATGCAGACAAAGGCAATACTTCCTGCACATATTTGGCATTCTATAGGCAGCTGACTTTCATTAAAGAGTTATTTTGAAAAATATAAGAGATGACCATCTAGGCAAGTTGTGTGCCTATAAGTGGTATGTGGCAGGGATCCAAGTGTGACTATTCTGAATTCTGATAATTCTTGCCCTCACTGAAGTGAACCTGGAAATTCAAATGAGGAGGGTTGCTCTGGTCCCTGCTACCTAGCTCAAAGACTCAGACCAGCACCTTTAGACTGGCTCTAGTAGAGCCATGCTTTCTCAACCCTCATTTCCTGGTATAGAGAGAGAATAAGGAACTTTGCCTGACACTCTGAGGTAAATGGTTAAGACTGTTTGAGGCTGACATGTCTGGCCTCAGGGCTGTGGTCCTAAAGAATCAACTACAACTGTAACACAATGGTTACAAGGTTTTGCTCAAAATGCGGGAAACTCTTGAGGCCGCGAAATGAAGTGTGTTGCCTAAAGTCATTGCCTGAATCACCACCCTCATGTATTTATTACAAAATTACCTTATTAAATTCTTTTTGAAAAAGACTATATATTTAATGTTACAGAGAGGAGAGGGGAGGGGAGGGGAGAGGAGGGGGGAGGGGAGAGTGAAGGAGAAGAAAGAAACATTAATGTGTGACAGAAACATCAAAGGGATGCCTCTCACATGTATACCAACTGGGGACTGGCTGAAACATAGACATGTGCCATGACCAGGAACTGAACTGGTGATACTTTGCTTTGGAGGATGATACCCAACCAACTGAGCTACACCAGTCAGGGCACCTTACTAAATTTTAATAGCTCAAAACACTGAATAAGGTAGTCAATTGATAATTCAGTAATATAGTTTTCATATTTAAAACATTTTCTTATCTTACACCAAAGCATTTGTAGCCATGAAGACAGAAAAAGGTGCCTCACACAATAACCTAAATTTTATTTCTGGGCCTTTATTTTCTAGAACATCATTTCCTAAGGGATCTCATCCCTTCAGTATCCAAGTTCCCAGTCACTTTCCTTCCTCTGTATGTTCCTCCTATATATTGTTGCTCTTGTCCTTGCTATAAGAACTCAGTGGCCTTGACTAGTAAAATGGATATTCAGAAATGCAGATACAGTCATTTGAAAATAAACCCTTGATTTACCTGAGTAAGTGCAAACAAATGTCCCTCTGTCAATGTCATCCAAGCAGCGTACTCCCCATCCCTTCTTCTCAGTTTTGAACACCTGTAACCTCACTTGAGGTCCATGCTGAACAACTCGATTTTGACACATTTGTCGATTACATTTGCACAACAGGCTGCATTCATAAATGCTGTCAATAAATATACAAGAGAAAAATCAATGAGGCATCCTAAATTAAAAACCAGGAGCAGTTAATATTGCTAGTCACTAATAACTGCAGATGAAATGAGAAAGAAGAATTCTAGAGCTAGACTGCCTGGGTTTCCCATCACAGCTCCAGCATTAACTAGCTGTGTGATCTTAGACGAGTTTAATCTCTGTGCTTCAATTTTCCATTTTTAAAATGGGGATTATATGATTTTATTTTATTTTTAAGTATATTTTATTGATCATGCTGTTAAGTTGTCCCAATTATTTTCCCTTTGCTTCACTCTGCCCAGTAACCCCCTTCTCTAGCAATACCTCCCACCTTAGTTCACGTCTATAGGTTGTGCGTGTAAGTTCTTTGGCTTCTCCCTTTCCTATACTATTCTTAACATCCTCTTGTCTATTTTGTTCCTATCAATTATGCTTCTTTATCCCTGCACCACCATTCCACCCTCCACCATCTACCCCTTCCCCCTGCCAGCTAATAACCCTCCAAATTATCCCCATACCTATGATTCTGTTCCTGTTCTGGTTGTTTGCTTAGTTTCTTTTTTGTTTGTTTTTTTTAGATTCAGTTGTTGATCTTGTGAATTTGTTGCCATTTTAATGTTCATAGTTCTGATATTCTTTTCCTTAAATAAGTGCCCTTAACATTTCATGTAATAATGGCTTGGTGATGATGAATTCCTTTAGCTTTACCTTGTCTGGGAAGCACTTTATCTGCCCTCCCATTCTAAATGATAGCTTTGCTGGATAGAGTAATCTTGGTGTAGGCCCTTGCTTTTCATCACTGTGAAGACTTCTTGCCTGCAAAGTTTCTTTTGAGAAATCAGCTGACAGACTTATGGAAACTCCTTCATAGGTAATTCTCTGCTTTTCTATTGCTGTTTGTAGGAGTTTCTCTTTATGTTTAACCCTTTTCATTATGATGTGTCTTAATGTGGTCTTCTTTGGGTCACACCAAGTGGACTCTCTGTGCTTCCTGGACTTGCATGTCTATTTCCTTTGCCAAGTTAGGTAAGTTTCCTTTCATCGTTTTTCAAACAGATTTCCAATTTCTTGCTCTTTCTCCTCTCCTTCTGGCATCCATAAGGCAAATGTGGGACCTCCTGAAGTTGTCCCAGAGGCTGCTTATACTACCCTCATTTTTTTTAATTCTTTTTTTCTTCTTGTTCTGACTGGTTGTTATTTGCTTCCTTATATTCCAAATCATTGATTTGATTCTTAGCTTCATCTACTCTACTGTTTTTCTGTGAATTGTTCTGTCTTTCGATTAGTGAATTGTTTGATTCTGACTGGATCTTTTTTATGCTGCTCAGGTCCTAAGTGCCTTGAGCATCCTTATAACCAATGTTTTGAACCCCACACCTGATAGATTGCTTATCTCCATTTCTTTTAGCTCTTTTTCTGGAGTTTTGATTTGTTCTTTCATTTGGGCCATGTTTATCTCCTTGTTTTGGCAGCCTCCCTGTGTTTGTTTCTACGTATTAGGTAGGGCTGCTTTGACTCCATGTCTTGGTAGTGTGTCCTAAGTAGTAGGTGTCCTGTAGAGCCCAGTGACTCAGCCTCCCCATTTACCCAAGCTGGGTTTTAGAGGTGCACCCTTCGTGTGGGCTTAGCACACCCTCCTCTTGTAGTTGAGCCTTGGTTGTTGCTGGCAGATCAATGGGAGGGATTTACCCAGGTAAGGATTAGCTGTGACCAATTACTACCAATCTCTGCCCTCTGTGGAGGATCAGCTGTGCAGAGGCAGGGTGGTGGCCCTCTGAAGTGATCTGTAGCTGTCCACTGGGTGCACTGGCCCTGGGGTCCCCAAGATGGTGCTGACCAAGGTCAGTTTTGCCCAACAACCCTTCCTTATCTATAAAGCAATCTAAGGCTGCTAGTTGTACTGGGCTGGGAGATTCCCAGGCAAAGCCAACCTGTGAAGCTAAACTGGCTGTTGCTAGTGCCCTGCCTGGAGCTTACTGAGGCCAGCTGTTGCTTGTTTGAAAGGATTTAGGAAGTTGTGAAGCAGCCATTCATGTGGAAAAGCAGCGTGGGTTGGATGGGGAGGAGTCTCTGGGGATCTCCAAGATGAGTAAAACAGTGTTAGCCAGGTTGATGGAGTCAAATATGGCTCCACCCTGCTGGTACCTGGGCTCTGTGGGGGAAGGGCTCAGAAAAGGGACAATGTCCTCTGCTGGCCCCGATGCCAGGCACTTCAGCCCTTCCCAGTATGCCACTGGGGCCCTTCTTCAAGCTGCCACCCCTGTGTTGGAGCTAAGAGGGAGTGAGTCGGAGTAGGTGAGCCTATGTGTAGGTTTTTTAAGAGGAACTGGTTGTGGTTCCAGCAGTTACTTCCATTGACTCAATCCATGCTGGTTTTTGCAGCCATAAGTTATGGGGACTTATCTCCCTTGCACTGGAACCCTGGACTGGCAGGCCTGGTATGGGGGTGGGCCTGCTCACTCCTCAAATATCCTTCCCAAATTTTTATCCATCACACATGGGTGAGAGACCACCCCATTCCACATCTGTGCTCCTTCTACCAGTTTGGATGTGTGTGGCTTCTTTAATTCCGAAGTTGTCATACTTCCAGTCAACTCAATTTCTGACAGTTCTGAGTGATGGTTATTCTGTGTTTTAGTTGTAATTTTAATGTGGTTGTGCAAAGAGCTGAGCCATGTCTGCCTACATCATGATCTTGACCAGATGCTCCAGATTTTATATTTATATATAAGCTATCACAGGATTGTTTTGTGAAGTTTATATGAGTCAGCATTTACAAGATGCTTGGGACAATACCTGGCACATAGTAAATATTAGCTCTTTAAAAATCCATAAATGTCTAGGAAGAAAATGTCTGGGAAAGGAATGTTTAGTAGGAAAAATGTTCTGTTTATTTTTTTAACTTATCTATATATATTTTTTTAAGATTTTATTTATTTTTAGACAGAGAGGAAGGGACAGAAAAAGAGAGGGAGAGAAACATCAATGTGTGGTTGCCTCTCACACACTCCCTACTGGGGACTGGCCTGCAACCCAGGCATGTCCCCTGACTGGGAATCGAACCAGCAACCCTTTGGTTTGCAGGCCAGTGCTCAATCCACTGAGCCATATAAGCCAGGGTTGTTTGTTTATTTTTTAATAACAACCTTGAAAGGCTGAAAATTCCCAGTTCTTAGAAGAGCTTAGCACAGGGTATTTCTTAAGGGGGAACGGCTTCCCAAAGGCTAACTCTAGAGGGTAAAAGCCAGACTCAAAGCACATGAGTGTTTGGTTCATACACGCTCTGCATGATACATATGTGGTCTATCACTTCCATTTCCAAAAATAATATGCAGGTTTGTTACTTTTTTAATTTAGGTTTTTGATATAAAAAATTAAGATTTAATATCTGTAAGACTATAAGTACAATAATAAAGAACCCACCTTTGAAGATATAAACACCCTATAACAAATCCTCAGGTATCTTACCCAGTTGGTATGTGTCTCTGTAGTCTTTTATATTTATATCCAATGGTTATTTTATCTCTTGACAAGGGGCAAATCTCAGCATTCCTTGCTGTCATTTGAAGACATGCACATTTTGTTCTACAAAGAAAGGTAATGAAGGGAGAAGTAAAAATTTTTAAAAAGCATCAACTAAAGAGACTTGATTAAAGTGTATTCAGGATAGTCATCTGCCTCATTAAGAGTTGAACTTCTTCACTAGTTAGACCTCCATGAAAGAGATTATTTACCAAAAGCCTATAAATAATTATAAACTGCCCTCTACACCTTTATTTGCTCATGAAATAAATACTTAACCATGAGTTTTCTTCAACTTTTCAAAATGAACTCCTTTAATTTCCTTTTCAGCAGAAGTTTGTTTGTTCTCCTAGGTCCACTCTCCTCCTACAATGGATAAACTGATATGTGTCAAACTCAAAAAGGTGTATGTAGGTTTGCAGATGCCTTAAATTATCTTTCTTTCCAATGACACAAAAGCAGATTGGGTAAGTTGACACTGGATATCTGGTTACTAAATTTATTTTTTTATAATGTTTCTCAACAAAAAACATGCAACCATAATTTTTCCCCCTCTTTTTAAATGATTGTCTAACTTGAGAGAAACTTATACCTTGATAGGGAGTAAGGAACCTGGGTATCTCATCTGTAAATTGGATATGTGCCTACTGATGAGCTGGTTAAAATCTCTGGATCTATCTCCTTTGTTCAACAAGTTACTTTGAGATCTCTTTCTTGATGATTCTCTTCTGTATTCTTCTGTATATACATAATACATGCATAAGAGTGGTGGTTACTACTTGCAACAGAAAAAACAAAAATTTCAATAATCTGGAATCTACTACAGTGCAGGAAATGTAAAGTTGCTTTTTTGATATGAGTTTGCTTACAAAGTTTAAAAAGTACAGAAAAAGACAAATAATAATATAATAAGCACTCATATTTCTACCACATAGAATTAACTGTTATCATTTTACCTAGTCCTTCTTTTTTCTGTATTATTTAAAATATATACGGGTACGCTGGGATGGGAGTAAAAGATAGAAAATTGTACTTGAACAACAATTAAAATAAAATTTAAAATAAAATAGAATAAAATATATACAAGGTCTGTCTGGAAAAAGTCCAGCTACTGTTAATATAATGAGAACTGTTCATGCAACATTGCTATAACCTGGCATCCAAGGAGAATGGACTGGAATGCACATACATGAACAATGACTTCACTGTACTAGTCAGTGGGGGCATTAGAAGCTGTTGAGTGCAAATGTGTACTGTGTGGCTACAGCATTCAAAATGACTGAGCTAGTAGAGGAACAAATCTGCATTTGTATTAAGCTTGAACTTTTCCCCTCGGAAACTATTTGGATGACTCAGAAGACTTTTAGGGATGATGCAATGAGTGCAGTGCAACTAAAAATGTGGCACAAATGTTTACAAGATGGCTGAGAATCTGTTGAAAGTGATCCATGTTCTGTAAGGCCTGCAACAAGCAAAACACCTTGAGAATGTTGAATGTGTATAGGTTACAATCAACAAAGATCGGCAACTGACAGTATGAGAACTAGAAGCTGATCTGGGGATTCCAAAAACTACTGTATCTGAGATTTTGATGAAGGATCTTGTATGAAATGTGTTGTGGCAAAATTTGTTCCATAGCTTCTGCTACCAGAGCAGAAGAACATCATACAGCAATTGCTAATGACTTCATTCAAACTACTACCAATGAACCAGATTTCCTTAAGGTCACAGTCCGAGATGAATTCTGGGTCCATGGTTATGATCTGGAAACAAAGGCCCAGTAGTCCCAACAGGAGTCACCTGGTTCTCCATGCCCAAAGATGGTGTGGCAAAGTCCCAGCAAGATCAAAACCATGTTAACTGTGTTTTTTTATTGGGAGGGTGTTGTCTATCATGAGTATGCCCCAGCAGGCCAAACAATTAATAGGGAATACTACCTCAATGTGCAATATGATGGAAACAGCTGCAGCTACGGGCAATTGGTGATTGACAGCTTCATCATGACAATGTGCCTGCTTATGCATCACGTCTTGTGCAGAGTTTTTTGGTGAAATATCAAATAACCCACATGACTCAGCTGCCTTATAGCCCAGATTTGGTACCCTGTGAATTCTGGCTTTTCCCAAAACTAAAATTACCTTTGAGAGGGGAGAGATTTCAGACCATCAGTGAAATTCAGGAAAATATGACAGGGTAGCTGATGGAGACTGGGACAACTGAAGGGTCCCGAGGTGCCTACTTAGAAGGGGGCTGAGGCATCACTGTCCTATGTACAATGTTTCTTGTATCTTGTATATTCTTCAATAAATATATTTTTAATATTATAAGAATGGATATTTTTCAGACAGTCCTCATAAACTGTTTATATAATAGTCTTTAAAAAATTTACTCTAGTTATTACTTTAAAACTTGCTCTTTCTTTCAATGTCATGTTTTTGAGACCCAATCCATGTTATATTCAAATATAGTTAATTCCTTTAAATTTTTCCACAGCATTTAGATACACAATTATGTCACTTAATTAAGTTGCTTCAAGTTTTCAATATAACAAATGTTGAAATGAACATCCTATTCTTATGCAGATGTGTAAACATCTCTAGAGTAGTAGCTTTGAAATATTTTTTACTATGACCCACAGTAGAAAATACATATTTTTCAGGATCATATACAAGCACACATATTTATACGTATGCAAACTGAAACAATAGTGGCATGAAACATTACTCTTATTGTTTGTGATGCACTTGGGTCCTTTTTTGTATTATTTAATTTTAAAAATGCTAGTTACAACCTCTTAAATGATTTTATATCAACTAAACCTATGGCTTGGAATACAATGTTCTAAATATACTTAAAAGTACCATTGCTGGAAAGTAGGTATGCACCTTTTCTATTGCTGTGTAACTGAACATCCCACTCTCCCTATTAAACGACTGACAGGCTTGGTATGAAATTCTAGTTTTAATTTGTTCTCCTTCAAGATTTTAAGCTAATGTATCTCTTTTTTTATTGTATTACTTCTGATGAAAAGTGTGTTGTCAGTCTCTTTTTCCTCTTTTTTGAGAGTTTGAAATTTACTCTTTATCCTAGGTCCTTCTTAAGTTGCATCAATATATTTATTTAGATCTATCTTATTTTCCCTTTTTAGTACTTAGCAGGCTCTTTCACTCAGAGGATTCCTGTCTTTCTTCAACTCTGTAAAATTCTCAGCTATTTTCTTTTTTTCAACCTCTTCCAAGGACATTTTTTCATGGCTTTTATAGAGAGAACAAAGGGGTAGAGGGAGGTGGAAACAGAGAGAGACAGAGACAGAAATATAGATGTGAGAAAGAAACATCAACTGGTTGCCTCCTGTATGTGCCCTGACTGGGAATCAAACCCATAATCTTTTGGTTTATGGAATGACACTCCAACCAACTAAGCCACATAGGCCAGGGCTCAGCTATTATCTTGGAATGGTATCAACTTGGAATGGTGCTCTTTTCTTTTTTGCATATGTATGCTACAGCTACTCCTCCATATTTTTTAACCTGTAAGTTATTTTACCCATATCTTTATCTGTTTGCATTCTGAGAGATCTTAGTTTTTGCCATCCAACACATTAATTCTTTCTTCAGCTATACCAATGCTAACATTTAGTGCATCCATTTAATTTATTTCAATGACCATGTATTTCCTATATTTCCAAATGGTTCTTTTTCATATATACCCCTTTATAAAAATAATTTCCTATTCTTGTTTTATGGATGCTAATATTTTAGTTCTTTGGACATTTTAAATATACCTATTGTAAAGTACTTTTCAATCAGATTCTACATTTATCTCTGATTCTTCAGGTGTGAATTCTCCCATTTGTTGGGATTTAAGCTGCTTTCGGGGTCTTAACCATTGCCTTTGTGTGCTGTGACAGTCTGACATCATACTTCTGTGGGGTTTACACCTGTGTATTCTAAAATTACATATAGTCAAATTATTCTCTAAAAAATTCTCTTGAACTGACCATAGAGTAAACACTGTTCCACAGTCATTTTTTTTTTTTTTTTTCAGTTTATGGGTTGATGCCCAACCAACTGAGCCACACTGGCCTGGTCCAGTAATTTTTTTCTCCACTACTGAAAGAGATTGAGCTTGGCCAGATACAGATGGGTTATACTTAGAGGCAATGCTTAAAAAAAAAAAAAAAGAAAAAAAAAACACTTGTTTTTAAAAAGAATTAAACTAGGCCAGCAACAGATTTTCTCTATGATAGGGCAAAGGAATTGAGCCAAAAGGATCTAACAGCAGATTTATATATCTCATCTCACACTCCAACTAACAGGGTGGTGAAAACTACTATCCATACCATTTATTTATCTTTCTCATTCTTTTGCCTACTACTAGAAACTAAATTTACATTAAATTGAATGTACATATAATGCAACTCCATTCTATATATGCATACCTACAAAAACATGTACACTATATATCCTTAAAATGATTTGAAAGTCCTAATATACTGAACATGTTTTCATTTTTTATGGAATGTCAATGTTAGGATCAAGAGAGTACTAATTATAAGCACCATTAACTTTCTACAAATGGCAAGAAAATGATTTGTAGAGAAATAAATCGCAACATATAACACAGTTACTAAGAGCATGAGTTGAAACTGCAGCTCTTCAATTTGTTTGCCCTATGATCTTACAATTAGCTTCTCAGTTTCCTCTTTTATAACATGGAAATAATACTACTACCTCATAGAGTTTTGTGAGAATTAAATAAGAAAATGTATATAAAGCAATTGTCAGTGTCTCCCATTGTTACATGGTATTAACTGTAATTGCTGCTGTTATGATTATGATACTAGCTTAAAGAAATACTCATCACCCTGTACACCAAAAGGTTGAGGGTTCAGTCCCCAGTCAGAGCAACCAATTGATGTTTGTCTGTCACATCTCTCTCTCTCTCTCTACTCAATAAGCATATTTTATTAAAAAAAAAGAAATATCCTTGGAGGAAATAATTTTCAAATTATTGTAATAACGCTGAAAAGTTTTCTTTCCCGTTGCTAGTGAGAGGGTGCATCTTTCCATTTTAGATTTTTAGCGAACAGTTTTAGATAGACAGATAGACAAACTGAGACACAGCAGGACTTAACAAGTACCCCTACATTCAGAAGATTTTTTGAAATGCCATTATATTCTACTCACATGTCTATGCATCCCTCAGAGCAGTCACATGAATCAGTAAATATGTTGGGAAAGCTGCTTAGATAATATGCTCGTGGCCACATAGTCTTTCTGTACTTAAAGTGTGGAAGCTTTCTATTGTCAATTTCATTACAGAAAGAAATGGGCACCAATTCCACTCCATTGCTAATATCCAGATCAGAAACAATTTCTTCTTGCTTTGGGTAATTCCGAGTCAATTGAACATAGGTATTGAAAGAAAAGTTATCTGTAAATAAAAAGTTACACTCTGTCTCAAGCAGGTAACGAAAAACTTCCTCCATGTTTCGTAGGCTCCTTCCACAAGGGGTTTTATAACTCACGTGGAGTGCTGAAGAATGAGTGTTTGTCTTTGCGTGTCGTCTTTGGAAGTGGCATGAAATTGGTAGCTGCAGAGGGTTTTCTCCCTTGAAGGTTAGTGGCATTTTCATCAGACAGGCACCAGAGCAGTCATGACTTTGGTAAGATAAATTCAAAGAGGATTCTTTTTCTCCAAAGTCCACAGCTTTATTTCTCAGAGGGGGAGATTCATTATTTTTTGTAGTGCTGTTCAAAATTAATTACTTATTAGTATCTCACATTTATAGTACAACTTCCCATTTTAAAAATACACTGCACACTAAGGTGGTAATTAGTGCTAATATTTTCTTAGACAATACAAAAATAAGCTAGACTCTGAAATAAACATTATACTATGTTCTGCAGCCATTTAAAGGTATACCTTGCAGGTCTTGCCTCAAAGGTCTTCTCCCCACTCCAGAAATCAAATATGTGGTGTTTTTTTCCCAGCACATCTCCAACTGGGAGTCCAATAATTCAGTTCAATTCTGACACTATTAACCTGGAGTCAGTATCAGATCCCACAAGACAAAGGGCTCAGTCCCACAAGACTATCCCCATTTCAGATACAAAATACAAGTCCTGCATACCCATACTTCTGACTGACCCTGGGATCCCCACAACCCCTTCCCTAAAACTTGATAATTTGTAGAAAGACTCAGAGAACTCAAGAAAGCAGTTTAATTACTATTACCAATTTATAATAAAAGATAGAACTCAGGAACAGTCAAATGGAAGTGATTCACAGGGCAAGATAAGTAGGAAGGGTTACGGCATGCCCTCCCCATGTGTGTCACCCTCCCAGTGTCTCTAAGTGTTCAACCAGGAAGCTTTCAGAACCCTGTTGTTTAGAAGTTTTTATGGAGGTTTCATTACATAAGTATGATTGATTATATCACAGGCCACCGGTGATTATCTTAATCTCTAGCCCTTCTCTCCTCCCTAGAGGTTGGAATGTAGGGCTGAAAGTTTTCAGCTTCCAATCAACATTTATTTAGTCTTTCTGGTAACCAGGCACCATCCTGAAGCTAACTAGCAGCCCCTCACCAAGAGTCATTTCATTAGTATACCAAAGATAATCTTCTCACTCAGGAGGTTCCAAAGGTTTTAGAAGCTACGTGCCAGGCAGTAGGACAAAGACCAAGTATCTTTCTTATTATATCACAACCTAATTTCAGAATATTCCAGAGAGCTGTGATTATAGCTGTACCATTTTGCTATGGCACCTAGCAAATTTAGAGTTATTTAGAGCATGCACTCAATAAATAGGTGAGGAAGATTATCTTCAGACATGCTTGATTCAAGCTTTCTACCTGCATAAAACAGTAAAGGCTAGCCAAAAACTAATTCACTCATCAAGAATCCTTTACACAGTGTTTGCCTTCAACCACTGTTAACCAATGGAAATTTTTCCACAATATGTAATTCACCTGGCATCATAGTGATATATCTGAAAGTGGTAAACTGATAGGAGAAAATGGGGCAGTCAGTCATTTTAAGAAAAAATAATTTGTGAAAAGATTCCATATGTATTGGGAATTCAGGTTTTAATTTTTCACCCAGAACCTCAGTTTTGTTTTATGCAGTATTTTCTATATTTAGATGTCTTTATTATAAAAGTAATATAGTATTTTAGAGATGTTTTTATACTCACTACATAAAGCAACACTGTCCAACAGAACTTTCCGCACTGATGGCAATGTTCAGTATCTGTGCTGTCCAGTTGGGTAGCCACTAGCTACATGTGGCTATTGAGCACTTTTAAATGGGGCTAGTGCAACAAAAGAGCTGAACTTTAAATTTTGTTTAATTTTAATTAATTCAAATTTAAATAGTCATGTGCAGCTATATTGAATGCATAGATATGAGGTGTATCTTCCTTTTTTCCAGCTGTATTAGCAATCCTCTGAATAAATTTCACAATTTATTCTCTATTGTTTCCAATCTTTTGCTATTATAAATCATCATGTGATAAACAACATTATACATAACAATTTCATACATGTAAAGATATCACTACAGAATATATTCCCAGAAATGGAAATACTAGGTCTCAGGGTAAATGGATTAGTAATTTTGTTAAGACACCCAAATTGTTCTCCTTGGGGCTAGCCTCTCCAGCAATTTATGAAAGTACCTGCTTCCAAAGCCTCATCAATCAATGGCTCTTGATGCTTTCGAATTTCTGACAATCTAACAGCCTAAAGGATAGAAGTTTATAAGTCTTTTAATGTTAGATACATTTGTTTCCAATTTTTCTGTTACTACTTTTTTTTTTTTATTGATTGATTTGAGAGAGAGAGAGGAAAGGAGAAGACAGAAACACAGAGAAACATCAACCGGTTGCTCCACCCATCCATGCCCTCACTGGTTAATTCTTGTATACACTTGAGATGGGATTGAACTTGCAACCTTGGAGCATCAGGATGACACTCTGACCAACTGAACTACTGGTCCAGGGCTCTGTTACTACTTTAATGAATATCCTTATACATAAACCCTTGACCAAATTTCTGATTATTACTGTAGTATACATTCCTTTAAGAGGAATTACTAGGTCAACAGGAACATACATTTAATAACTTTATTAATAACAGGTTCAAAGTACATAAAAAAGTATTTTTTCTCATAAAAAAGACTGATATATTGGACCCCCATGTACTTGTGAGAACTGCAGACTTTTGGCACAACTCTGTCCAAACCTATGCACTAAGAGACAACCAAACTCTAGCAAGGCTCCTAGCAGCATAAAACAAAGTCTCTAGATTGACCCCTGTTCCTCAATAAAATGCCTGCCTGAGAAAGCTCAAGGCTGCCAAGAAAATATACTGTTTCTTCTAGCCAACACCTGAAGATAAACCCCTGACCTTCCTTTCTTACACCATTTACTAAGAGGACTTACAATTGTGAATCATTCCTCCTTCCTTCTGAGAGGTATATGCATCTCCTACAACTCAGGTATGTGTTTCTCAAGGAACTGAAAGTCATTCCTTTGAAAGGCAATGGTCAGGAAGGATAGGGCCTGTCTTCCAGTCTCTGTGGGAGAACAGAATCCTAACTTCGATAATTGCCAGGCAGCACACACAGCTGGCCTCAAGGGTATTTACACTCCGTGTAATTTTACACTTGAGTGCTTGCTCTTCCTCTCTCCCCCATTCCCCTTTAAAACTCCAGTAATTTCAGCAGCACAAATCGGAATGGAGCTCAACTCCTTCCCCTATTGTCAGTAGGCACTTGGTAAAATCTGTTTTCACTCCTTTAACTAGTATCTTTGCTTATCTTTGGCACATTACCAAACTTTTGATAATTATCAACATTTTGTCTATTTTATTTGATCTATTCTCCCTACCTCTTGCCCCATCCTGAAATATACTGGAGTGCTTTAAAGCAAATCCTAGACGGATTTCAGCTAAAGATCTCAGCTAAAATCTTTTTTTAGCTGAAATAAATCAATATGCATTTCTAACAAGGCTTTTAAAAATATATATAGTCTAAATAGCCTGTTTTCACAGTTCCTTGATTCTCTTAAATTAGTTTGAATCAAAATTCAAACAAGTACCACACAATGTATTTGATTCAGATGTCTTTTGTCTCTTCAACCTTAAAAGAGTGCCTCTTCATTTTATGATATGTTTGTTAAAGTTGAGTAAATTGTGTCATTAGTCCTGTATCGCTTCCCACACTGTAGAATTTGGCTGATGACTTTTTGTGGTGTTAACTCATTCCCCTATCCTTTCTATTCCTGGTAAATTCATGAGTCAGTTCTAGAAGCTTGATTATATTCAGGTTCAATTTTGGTGGTGGTGGTGGTGTGTAATAATTCACAGGCGATGCTATAAATTCCTATTAAGTCAACTAAGGAGGTATACAATATCGGATTCACTTTTAGTGATGCTAAGATTTGTAATGGATTGGCCAGAAAGTCCATTAGATTTTTCCATATGATGGCTCTAGTAGTGCTCAGTTGTCATTAATTTCATTTTGAACAACTTGTTTACACTGTATTGTGACAGCTGTCTTATCAGTGTGCATTAAAAAATCTTATCAAAATTAGTGAATTTTTGTGTAGCCATTCTAGTAGTGAAGATGGATGAAGATCCACAACACTTTTGGCATATTATGTTTTATTATTTCAAGGAAAGTAAAAACTAAATTGAAACGCAAAAAAAAGATTTGTGCAGTGTTTGGAGAAGGTGCTGTGACTCATCGAATATGTCAAAAGTGTTTTTGTGAAATTTCTTGGTACTACAAATATTTTGGCCAAATAATTCTTTGTTGTGGGGCTGTCTTATGCATTGGAAGACATTTAGCAGCACCCCTAGCCTCTACCCATTAGAAACCAAAAGTGGGAGATAGCCAACATTCTTAAAATACCCAAATCAATCAAGTTATTGGTGAAAATGAAAAAAATGTCTTTCATTTTACAGAAAAAATGTAATGGGTTTTTTGGGCCAACCCAGTAAGTGAATTAAGGTGTTTTCAGCCTAATCCATCCATTTGAAAGCTTGTCATGAGTCTTTCACTTAACAGGTTTATTTATCATTTACTTGTGATCACTGGCTAGGCCTGTGCTACTCAGGGTGTAGTGGTGTCAGTCCCCAGTGACTTGCTACCAATTCATGACAAATACAAAAAATTGAAAGCTGCAAAACTTTAAAACTTTTACAGCAATTTGACATTGCCATGTTTCATTGCATTTTATAAGAGTATCTAAAAAAAAATAAAACCACCTGTTCTCACCAGTTACTTTGAGAGCACTGTCCTAGTGAGTCCACTGTTTCTTGAAGGCTGGAGGTTGTAAAAAGAACAATCTTTTTATTCTATCATTCCTAGAATTTTCTGGTTGGAATTCTTTTATAAAACGAAATTTTTCTCATCAACTCAGGTTATTGTGAAATATGTTTAGTATAGGAAAGGCAGGATAAACGCCTGCTTCTTTTTAATTCCTAGTATTTAGAATGATGATGGGTTGTATGTTAGCAACTACTAAAGTGACTGGATTTCAAAGTATTATTATGACCACATGGATTTTTATATATTTAATGTGTTTAAATCAATTACAGTGATTATTCATTTTGGTGGTCATATTGTGACATTTTTGGCTAGTTGAAGTTCCTTCAAGTTTACTCCTACAATTTTCAAACACAATTGGTAGTCTTAGATAGCATTTTTGCTTTCTGTCATGAGATGTTCCAGGTTTGGAATCT